CTTTCATATTTCACATGTTTATTTCTTGTGAGAAGGCCTGGACACCATTAATTTTGACCAATTGACCTTGACCTTGGTGTTTGACTTACTTTTGAAAATTTCAACCTTCTCGAAATCTGCTGGGGCTTTCATATTTCACATGTATATTCCTCTAGACAAGTCCTTTCTTTGGGTACCAACATATTTGATTTGCATTTGAGAAAGTTTATCCCTCGCTATAAGCGCTCGCCCCGTGATCGGGAGGTCGTGAGTTCGAATCGCGGCCGCGACATACCTAAGTCGATAAAAAATATGGGTAGCAACTGTTCCTTGGCCATGCGCTCATCACTTTGAAGCGAAAGTTGCAGGTCCTTCGGATGAGACCTTAAAAACCGAGGCCCCAAGTCACGACAGGCGATTTTCACAATAAAGATCCCTCACTGCTCAATGGCCCTGAGCGCCGAGTAAAGGTCAAATTTTGAAGCCCTGAACCGGTATATGGTGACGTCTCTATATGAGTGAAAAATTCTCGAATAAGATGTAAAACAATATACAATCAATCAATCAATCCCTCGCTATAAGTTGCCATACGTGGGCATCAGTGTTTTACAAACACGTCTCGTATTTAATGTAATTAAGTGAAATTGTAGATTAGACGTTGAACATTCCTGCAATTAAAAGAAAAGTGCTTCTTTTGAAAGTTTATTTTGTCGCAAATTTCGATTGTCCCTGAGTGCAGTCATCCTTTGTTTTGGCTAGACTCACTTCGAAAGACAGAGTTACTCTTTACTTTGTCGGTATATTTCTTCAAACACTTTATCAAAATAATAGTTATCATATAGTTTTTTTTTTTACATATGGTAAAATGTGTACAGGTAAGGTATTGGCATAAGATCGTTGTCAAAATTGTACATTCTATATAGTTACTTAAGTGATATTTTAACCAGCCATTTGCGTGTTTTTTCTTGTCACAAAATATGGTAATCACATCATATTTGTCTGTTGTGGACCCTGGGTTAGAAATAAGTATTCATTTCTGTCTATGGATACCTTCAAATAGGTAAACATGTACAACTTGTAGTATACCGTACTAAAAAGTGGTACTTGTATACGTAAATGGAATTGAAAACAATGGCACGCCATACAATACAAACTTCTATACTACTATATTAAAATAATAGACTCGAATTTTTGGCCTTTAATACCGACAAATCGGAAGAGTACTGTCTATTGTTTTATATGTTTTAAACATCATTGGTACTTGAGGATTACCAATTTGTTTTTATTTTTTCTCAATTAAGCTTCGCGAATTAATAATCAACGAAAATTCCTCAAAAAATTCCGGAAATCATCTGGATTTTTTTGATTTTACAATCTTGCGCGTGCGCATTACATTCACGCTAAATCACGGTGTTCGAATCTGAGAAGACAAAAGTACTAAGTAGATATATATTTGTTATTTTATAATTTCTCTAATAAGAAATCATAAAATTATTTGAACAGAATACATAGCAAATTTCCAATGAAAATTTACACGTATTTGTATTATCGTTTCTGAGTTTATCAATGCAAATGTGATATTGTGGCCACGTGGGTAATCATTCGCCATCTCGGAGACACATTTATTATATGTTATTTACGTCTCTGGTCATCTCAACGGAGGCAAAAACCTCATGATCGTAGGAGCAATATTAATGTAACTACCCGATTTTATTTTATCCTTCCTTTCTTTTATGCTTTTTTGAGGGGAAAGGGGGGGGGGTGTTACAACTCCAGCTAGAATCACATTTTAGTGAAGTAGGCATTCTTTTTCCGCCAAAAATTACAATAACATTATTTTCATTTCTTAACTTTGAAATAAATCGAAATAATCAATTAACGTCAATATAACCGATATTTTCAATTTGAAATATGTCTAAATGATTGTAACTTGAATTTGTTCGCCATGTTTACTATTACCTTCACTGCTGAGATTTATAACGCGGTAAATATGAAACATAAACTAAGGGCAAAGAAATATTTGATTCCATGCAAAAAAATTCACATTATATTTCTTACGAGAGTGTAGTGAAATTAATAGTATTATTGTAGGGTTATATAGCTTTGTTATGTAAATACATGACCTCTGACCCTGACTTTATATAGAAGGGACAGCCTGTTCTTCTAAATATGTAAAGGTTGTCGTGGTAACTACGCTTAATAGGTAGTCTGAAGTCAGCCCTTGCGGCCCGTACAGTTCATTCTATCAATGCTGCTGAAATATCGATCATTTGCATAGGCGTCGGAAGCAAATTGAAAGTGGGGTTGCTAAATGAAAGTGGAGGGGCTAAACCAACGAAAAAAGGTAAGCCCCAATTTTCAATACCTATACTATGTCTATCTTTGCGAAAAAAGTGTGTGTGTTGGGGGGGGGGGGCTAAGCCCCCCTAGCACGTTCCACGGTTCCGACGCCTATGATTTGTAAAATATACTGAAACGCAAAAGAAACGCAACAAGCAGTAATCTACAAATATTTGAATTTTTTATCTAAAGATTTTAAAAAATGAATACATTACGGTTAAACTTGATTTGAAAACATCAGAGATTTGATAAAAATGTTAAATGATTATCTTTAAACTTTAGAAAGTAACACATGACTGTTTAAAACATCCCCAACCCGGCCATTCAATTACAGCGTGCAATTCTGCCATGCACAACAGTTGCAGCTTGATTTCTACGATGCAATAAGTTCATCAATCTCGAGATCTGAGCAACAGAAGTTTTCTTTGCGATTTTTAAATGCCTGTTTTTCAGATGATGAGGTCGAATTTTCTCTATCCAAGCGCAGTGTAGTAACCCTTGGACTTCCGGTCCAAGGACTGTCATTTATGCTAATGATACGTAAGAACCTGTTGAGGCGTGATGTGGATCATATTTGCTTCTGCAACTCCCCATCACCTTTATTTTGAAATTTCCCAGCTAGAGCAATGGAAATGCGTACTTATGTCATTTTCAGGAAGGTTTGGCATCGCTTACGGAAAAGTAAGGGGAATTTATTTTTCGGAACATTGCTGCATTGCTTATGATGAACAGATACACATCCTGAAAACCCCATATTATTGCCAAATGTTTTGTTAAACATGCAATTTTTGATTTCTGTTAAACAGACTCAAACTTAACTTCCGGTAATGGTATCAAAATCATTCAACCGTTAAATTACCGATATTTACAAAGTTGAAGATGTCCTTACATTTCAGATACAAAATTATATCCTAAATGTTATATTTTCCCCCTAAAATATGATGTTGCGTTTCTTTTGCGTTTCAGTATATAATCCATGCATAGTAAATCTCAAAATTATGAGGTGGGACAAAATTAAGATCATAAAGAATATTTATTCATTGATGAAATGAATTATATTTAATCGTAGCAAACAAACTAACGTTTAATTAAATCGCCAAAAGAAAAAAATACACCAGCGTGAAAACAAGTTGTCTTCTTCAGCAGCCATGACAGTTCCCATGTGATGTAATGACTTTTGATTGAAAACGTTTAATACTGCAGTAGATTAACTTTTGTTATCACTAAACAGATATATAAATGTTTATGAGGTATGTATTTTATTTTTGCTGCATTATTTACGTATGAAGTAAGAAAAATTCCCATATTCAGTTCAAGATCCGCTCCCAAATTCTCATTGGCTGTCCCAAAATAAAATCGATCAAGGTCAGTAAACTTTAAAGTTTGGTAAACTCAGACTTTACTAAATATTTTGAAAAAAAAATATGCTTTGAATAATTACATCAAAAACATTTATTTTAAAATGTTTCTGATTACATTGTATGATTTCAATTGAAAAATGGAAATGATATTGTATGATCCAAAAAGAGTTGTAACCCCCCCCCCCCACCCCCCCACCCCAACCTCATGAAAAGGCTTCATTATTGCAGCAAGAAGTACTTTCAAGTTCCTACTTTCCTACTTAGGATACCCTTGGTAAATGTCCGATATGTACATGGATGCATTCATAACAATGTCAACCCGTGTACGCACGGGTCAAAGTCTAGTAAGTTAAAACGAAAGTAGAATTGTATGCATTTTCAGAAAACGTCATTTTTAGAGAATTAAGAAATTGAGGAATGCACATGCCAGGTATACTTTTATTTATTTACTCTTAACTGAAACTGTATAGGTAGTGACATAGTAAGTGATTTTATCTACAAGTATTTTCTAGTTCTTGAGGATTTGAATGGTTTCTTTAAAAGAAAGGGGGCGTACAAGGCGAGGATAATCCCCCGTGTCTCTGTGACAATATTTTTCTCAATTTTCAAAGTTCAATTTTATAATTTTCTAAAATAATGTTTTCCGTAATGTCTTCTTTAACACATATGATTCAGTTATTTTATTGAATGACTTTTTGCTTGATAATTTGTTTTTTAAAGTTGACAGTAAAGCATATTTAGTGGGAAATTGGTTTCTTAGAGCCATAAAAAAAGATTTTTGAATATGAATGGGTTTCGTCTCCATTCTTCATTAACGTTAATATGACGGAAAGGTAAATGTAAAATCTATTTCATGTTTTAAAAAAATGGAGTCTGAACCCATTCTATATGAAAATCGAACTTTTCTGGGAAAAAAATTACGCTTCATCAAACTCGTTTATTTAAATCACACTGACATCAAACAAGACAAGCAGACTTCGTAGCGTAGTGGTTAACGCGTTCAGTCTCACGCCTAACCATGAGCTTTGGAGAGAGTTCAAATCATGCGTGAAACTTTTTTTTTCTTTTTCACAAACCTTAAAAACATTAGTGAAAAATAAATTGTCAATAATTTATGAAACAGAATATGTAAAAGATTATATTGACAATATAATTTTTGAAAAATATAACTTTTCATGAACTTTTAGAATTGAAAAATGTCTGCTCTCAGGGAGGGGGATCGTCCGCGCCTTGCACGCCTTCATTCTTTATTTGAAATTGAAGTTGACGGAATTGTTTTAACAAAGTATCATTGCTTTGATTCTTTTCTACCAGTGCAGAATCAGAGATTATAAACAATGCCTGAACTTTTGAAGCAAAATTACCGTGAACAGCTAGCCACCTGGATTGGGAAGACCTGTCACTTCCGGTTATTGTACAAGATCAGCAGAGATGGATGTTCAGCCACAACGTTTCATCAAAAGTGTGACGGTCAGGGACCAACAGTAACAGTTCTGTATAACACAAATAACACGATATTTGGAGGGTACCTATCACAGAGCTGGAATTCCAATGGCGCACATATCGCAGACACAAATGCATTTCTTTTCCGACTGCAGTATAACGGTTCTTCTTATCCACATAAAGCTCCTGTCAATGGTTCCTATTATAATTATGCAGGCTATGGGGATGGTAATTATGGTCCATCTTTTGGAGGGAATACTGACTTACGCACATTTCAAGGGAACGTTTCAAAATCTGGCAATACGTTTGCGCTAAGTGGTTATGTGCAGGTGCAATACTATACTTACAATGGACAGGATACCAACTCTATGACAAACAATAATCTGTCGGTTACCGACCTCGAGGTCTACCTTGTCGTAGGTATAATCGCCGTGTATTAAACTTTTACTTGTAATTGTTTTGTAATTGTATGAAAATCCTGCAAAAAAATTTCCACACAATGTACTGTCAATAGGTATATAAATGAGAAAAATAAAGTAATGTATTGTAGATGGAACAGGACCAAAGATTTTTGACAAACCATGGAGAGAACCACCTGAATGGAACAATGAGGTATTAAATGTAATTATAGTATTATAATGTATATAATTTTCTTATCAATCAGATTGAATTTAATATAGTGTAGCGGTTATGCATATATATATATATATATATATATATATATATATATATATATATATATATATATATATATATATATCTATATATCTATATATACAAAGCACTAAAAATGACCAACGACACGAACAATAATAATTGTCAAATTTTCGGGACGACTTGCCCCTTCCTCAGGACAAAGAAAAAGTTAAGAAGTCATAAAAACAAAGGAAATAGAGAAACAAAAACAACTAGCACTACTACTAAACTACCAAACACTAAATATTTATAGTGTTACATGTTTAATTTCAAGTAAATAAACAGTCGTGAACAAAGAAATCCGGAGCGCTATGAATTGCGTCCGGTCTATCGGGTGAACTCTGGTGAAGTGCGATTTACATAATTGAACGAATTAATTATCACTAATTAACTACGACAAGCAGTAATTCGTACATTGTCTTATTCTCTCAAAATAGCGTAACTATTTGGGCAGACTTGAACGCAACTTGCTACTTCAAGCACCATTTAGGCCCCTTAGCTGGTTGCGTTTCATTGACGATATAGAGATGAAGTGGGTGGAATGTCGCGAGAGCCTCGAGGCATTCATTTCATTTGCCAGCACCTTTCATCAGTCTATCAAATTTACAGTAGACGTATCTAATTCGAAAAACATATTCCTAGATACTACATCTACCCTGATTGATGGTGAAATCGAGTTCAGTCTCCACACGAAACCCACAGATTCCCATTCGTATCTTATGCCAACTAGCTGTCATCCCCCACACACATTTAAGGATGTGCCTAAGGGTCTAGCCACCAGAATTCGGCACATCTGTTCATCCCCTGCCTTATATCAGGAACAAAGCGGTCTCCTCAAGTCCCACTTATGCAAAAGAGGCTACAATGCCCGCACCGTACAAACAGCTATTGATGAGATGGCGGGACATGACAGGCAAAACCTATTACGCTACAAGGAAAAAGACAATAGCGGCAGGGTCCCTCTGGTAACCACATACCATCCCGTCCTTAAGAACCTCAGCGGTATCCTTCAAAAGAATCTGCCAATTCTCCACTCAAATAAACGAATGGCAGAGGTCTTTAAGGAGCCCCCATTGGCTGCACACAGACGCCCGAGGAATCTAAAGGACATGGTAGTAAGAACCAGATTGGACAATCCATTACCTAACGGGGGCTTTAAAACTTGTTCTGACAGAAGATGTCTTCTATGTAAGCACCGCTCTGACACAGACAGCTTTAACAGCCCTGTTACAGGCCGCAGCTACAAAATACTAGGGAATTTGTCCTGTCAAACAGACAACTGCATTTATCTCATCAGTTGCAAAGTTTGCTCCAAATAGTATGTTGATGAAACAGGAGATCTCCGCAGGAGAGTCAATAATCACCGTTCTACCATTAGGACCAAAAAAACTCAATGAACCCGTTGGGGAACATTTCAACCTTGAAGGTCACAAATGGGAGGACATGACAGTAGTGGTTATTGACCATAATCCAAGATGGACAGACGCTCAGAGAAAAGGCAAGGAAAAGTTCTGGATGCATAGGCTGAAGTCATTCCGCCCTGATGGTATTAACAAACTTAATGACTTCACCAGGATGAACGTGAACAAGACCCAATCCCGGATTGTAACAAACAAGTTCATTCTCTCTATATAGTGTAAACTTTACCGTTAATTCGCATTAGCAATTCTGGAACAACCTACCCAGATATTTACAGCTTACATTTTTGTGTATTTCTTTTATCCTATTTCCAAATTTATAATATATCCAAATTCATATTTTTAAAATTGCCCTTCCATATTATCTTTCTTTAATTTCTTTTTATCATGTATAGTTACGCTATTTTGAGAGAATAAGACAATGTACGATTTACTGCTTGTCGTAGTTAATTAGCGATAATTAATTCGTTCAATTATGTAAATCGCACTTCACCAGAGTTCACCCGATAGACCGGACGCAATTCATATCGCTCCGGATTTCCTTGTTCACGACTGTTTATTTACTTGAAATTAAACATGTAACACTGCAAATATTTAGTGTTTGGTAGTTTAGTAGTAGTGCTATTTGTTTTTGTTTCTCTATTTCCTTTGTTTTTATGACTTCTTAACTTTTTCTTTGTCCTGAGGAAGGGGCAGGTCGTCCCGAAAATTTGACAATTATTATTGTTCGTGTCGTTGATCATTTTTAGTGCTTTGTATAAATTTTCATCCGTGACCTTGTATCTGCTTAGTAGATCCGACACTTAGGATATACAGTGTTGTTGGTTTTTAGTGCTTTATATATATATATATATATATATATATATATATATATATATATATATATATATATATATATATATATACACATGTATATTGAAAATGCTATTTTTTATGCCCCCGTAATCGAAGATACGGGTAAATATAGTTTTTGCCCTGTCTATCCGTCTGTCTGTTTGGGTGTCTGTGTGTTTGTCCGCAAAAACATTAACCTTTCCCATAACTTTTGATTGGTTGGAGTTATGGCTTTCATATTTCACATGTGTATTCCTTGTGACAAGGCCTTCCTTCGAGTACCAACATATTGGACCTTTTGACCGTGACCTTAGAATTTGACCTACTTTTGAAAAACTTTAACCTTGGCCATGACTTTTAAGCAGTTGGTGCTAGGGCTTTTATATTTTGCATGTGTATTTCTTATGACAAGGTCTTCCCCTGCGTACCATTGATATTTACCCTTTGACCTTGATCTTCGAGTTTGACCCATTTTTAGAAAACACTAACCTTGACCATTACTTTTGAATGATTGGTGCTTGGGCTTTCCTATTTACCAGGTACATGTATATATATCCATTGACAGAAGCCCTTTCTTGGGTACCAATATTTTTGATCTCTTGACCTTGGAGTTTGACATGCATTTAAGAAGCTTTAACTTTCACCATAAGCTGACATACGGGGGCATCAGTGTTTCACAAACACATCTTGTTTTAAATACTGAATACCTATAATTATATACATGTATATGTAAGGGTAATACAAGATCTTTAAAAAAAATATGCTTTGCTATCTGAAACGATAAAAATTCAGAACTGAAAAATGAAAAACATTTTGATGATAAATTGAATTTTCATAACTGTCATTTTTCTTTTACGTGAATCATAGTTTTTCTAAACCTCAACTAATCAATGTAAACCGAAGTTCTCCACCTTGTCTGAAGTTTATTGTATGATTGTATGTTTTTAACGCCCTATTCGGAAATAAATCAAGCATAAAGAGATCTATCAAGTTTAACCTATATATATATATATATATATATATAGAGAGAGAGAGAGAGAGAGAGAGAGAGAGAGAGAGAGAGAGAATATTACATACTAAAATCCATATCATATGTCATATCAGCCCGAGTGGCCCCATATCAGCCCGAGGGCCGAAGGCTTAATATGCGAGTTCACATAAAATCATTGAAGAATGTTTCGTGCATGTTTATGACCTTTTTTCTATTAAATCTAATAAAGCAAATTTTAGGTCTTTGAATACAAATTAAGTCCACAGATGTTAGTAAAGAATTCTTTTACATGTACATGTATATTTAAATAAAATCAAGTTAATTGATTTTTAAACTTTAAACAAGCGTTACTTCCGGTTTGATATGGATTTTTGCCCGCCGGTCCGATACGTGATATGGATTTTCGGAGCGGTCCTTGATATGGGGTATTGTGACGTCACCCGTATCGCACAGTGCAGAATCGGTGTATTTACTACTAAGTATATGATATATAGAGAATAATACATGGCAAAATCTGTATCACACCCCATATCAACCCGAGACTCCAATATCAGTCCGAGGGCCGAAGGCCAGAGGGCTGATATTGGTCGAGGGTTGATACGGAGTGATACAGATTTTGTCATGTATTGTTGTTTTTAATAATATATTTGAAAATAGTGTCTAAAAATCATTTATAAACTTGTAAATTAATTACAATTTTTTAAATAATCGAATGTGTTCTGTTTTTGTTGAATTTCCGTTTCTCATTTTTTTTCCCAAAGGCAATGCAATCAGCGATAAGAAATGAAATAATTATAAATTAAACAAATAATTATTTTGAATAGCATAAGATATCTGATGAAGTAAAATTACAATTTAAATAAACTTCATTAACAAAAAGGTGTAATAAAGGGTGTAGTAAAGGGTGAAATAAAGGTTGCTGATACAGGTTGTGTAATACAGGGCGCGTGCCTGTGTTCATATCAGGGATGCAAAAATCCTGTATTATATAACATATATATATATATATATATATATATATATATATATATATATATATATATATATAAATGAAAAATATTCAAACATATAAAAACACAGAGAACGAGTAAAACATAAGCGCTTTCATTTCTTCTTCATGATGTTATACAATATACTCATGGTAACGTTTATTGTGACGTCATAATAACTTAACGTTAACAAGTCTCTGATTGACGTCATATTTTTCCGTACTTTTGGCAAAATAATACAATAAAAAAGAAATAAATGCGACTCAGTAAAATTCTCTACATGTATAAAGTACAATTCTTTTACAATAAACTATTTAAACTAGGTTTGAAAGTCCTTATAAAATGTTTTTCTTTATCTCTTCTTTCGATTGTATTCGAGTTATACAATTTATAAAATGGAAAGACAGTGAAAGTTTTATTTCCACATAAGTCTAGGTGTTCACTGACTTTAAGTTTACGGTATTCCGGCACATTAATTTGTTGTTTATGGACTCGGATCCTTTCCCGCAAGGTACTTCCCCTCTCTCCGATATATAATTCACCGCAACCAGAACATGTTATAACGTATATGACGTTTCTAGTTAGGCATGACATGTTATTATTAACTGTGAACTGTTTTCCGCTAAAATTAAAATGTTGTCCTTGTTGTATGTATGGACAGGTACCACAACGCGGATCCTGGCATTTGGTCACATGACATTCTGTCGTTTCTTTAAAAGAGGACTTAGTGAGAATTCGTCTAAGATTCTTCGGCTGCCTCCTACTGTTTATGAACTTTCGATTTTTAAATATTTTAGACATAGTTTCATCGGTCTTCAAAACGTCGTTTAGGTGATAAACAACTGGTGCAACGTTTTTATTTTGGGGATTATGTGTCGTTATTAATGGTAGGATCTTGGAATTTGTCCTGTTTTGTTGCACAGGGTTGAGGAGGTTTAAGTTCTTGTAGTCTTTGTATTCTGATTGATTCGTCATGAACGACGGTGCATATTCTCCTCGCTAAGTTATCAGGTATAGCTCTTTTCGTATGTCGTGGATGGCACGAATTAAAATGAAGATACTGATGCGTATCTGTAGGTTTGTAATAGATATCTGCCAAAATGACGTCGTTTTCCTTAATTAACAAAATATCCAGAAATGGAATTCTATCCGTACTTTCTTCCGCTGTAAATCTTATATCAGGATTAAGTTCGTTCAGCAATGTTTTAAAGGTAGATAATTCGTTGTCGCTGAATTTCCATACAATAAAGCAATCGTCCAGATATCTTTTCCAGTAATTAATAATATAATTTTTTACCTCTTCGTTGAATTGTTCTCCCACTTTTTGATACATTTTCTCTTCTAAGTATCCTAATGTTAAGGTGGCATATGTCGGAGCCATTTTTGTGCCCATAGCCGTTCCTTTTATTTGTTTCAAATGTTTTCCATTAAATGTGAAAGTATTATTTGTCAGCACTATTTCTGTTGCTTCCAAAATAAAGTCGCTTGAAAATCTGCCGTTAATTTTTTCAGGATCCTTACTGATCCAGTATTCTACGGCTTCAAGTCCCAGGGAACTTGATATATTACTGTACAAGTTTATGACATCCAACGTAACGAGCTTGCTGTTTATATCAACTTTCTCTGGTAAATGGCGGAGAAAATCGAAGTCATCTTGTACATAACTTTTGACTCCAGAACATAATGGCCTTAGAAGAATGTCTAGTAGATTGCTAAGTCTTTGCGTTGGTGCTGATGGTCCTCCTACTATTGGTCGGAAAGTGAGATCGTCTGGATAAGGACAAGTTATGTATTCCGAGCATTGGGATTTGATGGCCTCTTTTATTTTTCTAGATTTATGAATCTTTGGCAGTCCATAAAAATTGCTTTCACTATATTCATAATCAATTAAGAAGTCTTCTTCTTTTTCTGTTAAACTCGATGATGTTTTATGACGTTTTAAAAGATTCTTAATTTTCTGCATTGTTTTTCTATCGCTGTTGTTTGGTATTTCTTCGTAGTACTCGACGTTCGATAGCATATTCATTATATGAGTTTTATAAAACTTAGAATCCATGATTACAACAGCGCCACCCTTGTCCGCTTCTTTCATTACAATGGATTCATCATTCGACAATGATTTAAGTGCATTCTTCTCTTCTATTGTAAGATTGCATTTTATTTTGCGGTTTTCGTTATTATTCAGAGGCAAATTATTTAATGTCTCACAAACAACATCTAAAATTTCGTTTTGTCCTTTAATAGGATTAAAGTTAGATTTGTTGCGTACAAGATCCTCTTCCTCATCTGAATCTGAGTCACTCATTTTCTTTATAAAAATGTTCTGCTAACCTCAATTTTCTCGTATACTCTTTAATATCTGCCCTTAGTTCTTGATTGTTACTATGAGGTGTAGGGGTAAATTTTAAACCTTTGCATAACAGACGCACCTCCGAGTCACTTAAAAGTCTGTTGGAAAGGTTAATTACTTTAGGGTCAATATTTTTGTTGTGAGTATAGATTTCAAGTCTTGTTCTACACATACCGGTGCTTGTTCGCTGTGTGGCGTCCTTGATCCCCGTACTTGATGCGCCGGTTCGGAACTAAGTTGTTTGCCCCTTGGTTTGGTTTGCCTCCCCCTAAAAATAGTTTCTGGCATTTTTTCCTATGTATGTCACACGGTTAGTTATGTACATGTTGTGTGAATGACCTCTAGATTGATGGTTATATTTTCTGTCACTTGATGATGATTTTCCATACGATCTAGGATTCTGAATTGGTTTGAATGGAATACGTTGGTTCTGGATCTTTGGTTTATTACATATTTGATTTTTCCGTATGTAGTTGTCTTTCTTCACATTCGTCGCCGGTGGTAAAGTGTTATATGTATCATTCCTTGGTGGGACGTTTCTGCTTATTTTCTAGGCGGAATTACGTTAGTTTTTCTGATTTGTTGTTTGTTAGCTCTGTTGTCCTTTATAGCTTCATTTCCATACTTATTCTCGTAGTCTAACAGCCAAGCTTCCTTGTATCGCCATTTGTTGAACGTTTTCTGTTCTTCTCTTTAACAATCTGATTCCCAAATTTTAAGAAGAATTTCGAGAACTTTACCCGATGCTTTATTCCTCATTTCCTTTTCCATTTGTAAATCAAAATCAGTTTCTTTTTTCTGACTGTTGCTTGATCTCATACGTAGTAAAAGAATTTCTCCTTTCACACGTTCTTAGCTACCTCAATCCGGGTGGCTGTTTGGTCATCAGGCTCTCCGTGGATTGGTTTAATTCTGAATTTTCTCGGTAATGTCGGCTCCTGTTGATTAAGCCATTTTTCAAATTGATCTGCGTGATTTGCATTATTTACCTGGACGATTGCTTTATTGTATGGAAATTCAGCGACAACGAATTATCTACCTTTAAAACATCGCTGAACGAACTTAATCCTGATATAAGATTTACAGCGGAAGAAAGTACGGATAGAATTCCATTTCTGGATATTTTGTTAATTAAGGAAAACGACGCCATTTTGACAGATATCTATTACAAACCTACAGATACGCATCAGTATCTTCATTTTAATTCGTGCCATCCACGATATACGAAAAGAACTATACCTGATAACTTAGCGAGGAGAATATGCACCATCGTTCATGACGAATCAATCAGAATACAAAGACTACAAGAACTTAAAGAATATCTACGGAAACAAAGCTATCCAGACAAAATTATTGATGATGCTATTAAAAAAGCCACAGAATTAGACAGAAAGGACCTCCTCAACCCTGTGCAACAAAACAGGACAAATTCCAAGATCCTACCATTAATAACGACACATAATCCCCAAAATAAAAACGTTGCACCAGTTGTTTATCACCTAAACGACGTTTTGAAGACCGATGAAACTATGTCTAAAATATTTAAAAATCGAAAGTTCATAAACAGTAGGAGGCAGCCGAAGAATCTTAGACGAATTCTCACTAAGTCCCCTTTTAAAGAAACGACAGAATGTCATGTGACCAAATGCCAGGATCCGCGTTGTGATACCTGTCCATACATACAACAAGGACAACATTTTAATTTTAGCGGAAAACAGTTCACAGTTAATAATAACATGTCATGCCTAACTAGAAACGTCATATACGTTATAACATGTTCTGGTTGCGGTGAATTATATATCGGAGAGAGGGGAAGTACCTTGCGGGAAAGGATCCGAGTCCATAAACAACAAATTAATGTGCCGGAATACCGTAAACTTAAAGTCAGTGAACACCTAGACTTATGCGGAAATAAAACTTTCACTGTCTTTCCATTTTATAAATTGTATAACTCGAATACAATTGAAAGAAGAGATAAAGAAAAACATTTTATAAGGACTTTCAAACCTAAATTAAATAGTTTAATGTACGCAGGACAGTTAGGTGCCAAATGGAAATACCGGCGAATTTTTTAGATAGAAAATACATTCTCTACAAGGATGGGCATTTCTTTTTAGGACTTTACTATTATCGGACAAATGTAATTTGGTTGAAAACTAAACGCAGTACGGTTAAGGCAACACAAAGTGAAAATATGCTAATAAGGGGATAATGAGATATGACGTATAGGATATTTGCTCCGCCCTAATTTCCATATATGGAATAGTTGCTAAAAACAGCAAAACAAAATAAAGAAGAGTTTTTTAATTATCATTTTGTTTATTTTGATTTGTTTATTTTCATATTTTTCTCCATTGAATATAAAATTTATGATTGTTTTATTCGATGGCAAGCTATTTTATTTGACGTTTGGTGCGACATCTGTGTCAGTGAAGCGCTTGCGCTGCGCACGTTTTCATTCATTATCACGGAGTGATGGCCGAGGCGGATGGAAACAACGTTTGCTCATAAACAGGTCTGGTTAGAGCCAAGAAGAAGAGAAAATAGGTAAGTTGTAGGTACAGTAATGCGAAGAGAATACTACACTGTTCTTGTGTATAATTATTTGAAAGAATCAATGCACTCTATGGAAAAATATCCTTGCTGAATTTGTCACGATGAACCACGTGGTGACCCCATTAAAAAGCAATGTGTCAACGGTTTTAAAATATGAATTGTGCAGTGACTTTGAAATCCTTGATTATAAATAATTGTGGTTTATTAAGGCTAGGTATTATAAGTTAAATTTTTTTTTGTCACAGATTGTTAAATAAATGTTTATGATAAGTTATAATTGGACTGCTAATGAACTGCGCAATAGACTACCTCTATCTTGGAGGCCCAGTTATCATGGTTATGATCAAACCCTGCCTAATAGTCAAGAACTATTTTAAAACAAATAGTAAGGGTTTTTATTATGAGAATTAAATATATATTAAAACCTTTTAAAGGCAGTACAGTATGTACCTTCTTTGGGTATCAACAGAATGATGTACTTCAATTTCAAAACTTTACATGAAAACTGACCCCTTTTTTACTCTCAGGCTATGTGGCAAAATGTTTATATGCCTTTTACTTTACTGTTATTAAAACGAGGAAACAGAAAAACTTCTCATGAGTTTACCAAAGGCATTGATCTAACCTGAATTCACTGGTAATTTACCAGAGCTCCAGATAAGGTGTGTATTTGCAGAAATATGCATTGAATTTTTCAAAATACGCATTAAAAATTAAAACAGGGCGTACAATTATGCATTAGAAATCATAAATAAGCATTACACTATGAAAGTACTGTGTACGACAGATTGAATGTTGACTAATAATGTGAATTTTGATTAAGCGTATTCGGAATAACATAGGCCGATTTCCAGTTCAGGAGAAAGATTTGAATATTAGAGACTTGTATTTTGTCTTAAAATTTAACAGATTTCCACTGTTCATATAACATCCAAATTTTTGTTCTTGACGCGTACAGGTTGATATTGTCAAAATTGCTCAAAAACACGCATGGTGTGCAATTTATTCTTTATCACTGTTTATTAAAGAGTTCTTGTATATTTACCATTTTCTGTAACTATAATATCATCTAATCTAAAGTCTGCTGACAACTTTTATTAATTGTATGAAAATAATGTTGCTTTTTTGCTTTTCACATGCTCCTGTGCTATAAGTAGCGCCATGCGACTTTTTTGCAGTTGGAAAATTAAGAAAATTTCTTTAAAAAGTTTTTAGAGCATTTATTTGAAAGACTGAAATGAGGTTTAACATTTATTTCATCCATACGACCAGTCGGTCATGTTTATAGACATTTAACACAACCGGACCACTCATTCACTAGACTGGGTCGGTCGGACTTGCCTTAGTGTAAAACCCTGATGTGGTTCGGTCATGCTATGACAGACCTCTGTGTCCCTAAGAAGTTTACACAGAATTAAACATATTTGCTCTCCAATAGGAAAATATTTGCAAATGTAAATATTAAGTACTGAAGCTTTTATTGAAATATTATCTGCCATGTCTTCCCATCAATTTTGAACATGTTAAATAATGTTGGGGTTGCATCATGACTAGTAATGATCAACTTTCATTTCACAACAGTCCAAAACATTCATAGCACAGTTATTTATTACTTAGATATTTTTTTTTCAAATTTGCATGAGACTGCAAATAGAGACAGTGTGACTGGGGCTTTAGGAGCAGAACACACTTCTGATGTCAATTTGCATTTATGTACCAGGCAAAGCCTTTGTGCAACAGTTAATCAATGTACTGAAGGACAAGACTTGTGCATGTATAGACAATTTTTTAATGTTTGATATCAACATGGAAAATATTTTTTTCACCTGAACATTTTTCCTTATCTTGGCTTGAAAGATACTCAAATATACAGAAAGGGGTGAAAGCTGCAGGTTTTTAAGATTGTGATGCAATCAATCATAGGTCTTTTATATTTCATTATCACAAAATTTTGTTATAAATAAATTAATAAAATAGCAAACAATCCAGATTATTTATTTTTCCAGTGCCATACCTTGTCAAGGGTTTTATCGATTACCTTTAGATTGTGTACATTAGTCAGCATAAACATTATACATGTGAAACAAACAAATAGATATCATCAAAATTAATTATATCATTGTAAAGCTTGATACATGTATTAGAAAATTCCTGTACATGTGGTATATGTTTCGCTTAAAAAAGTGAAACAGTGCAAAAACAAACAAAAATGTGCACTTTACAGTAAAACCTGCATATCAGGTATGATCATGCTATGTTTCAAAACTACAGGTAAGGAAATTCACTTTGCCGTAAGCATGAATTCAATGTATGCACAAAATGTTTGCGGTCATCGTATCTATACTCTAAAATTAAAGTTCACTATAATACACAATAAAAGTAGCTGTTATACCCATAACTACCTAAACATCAAGTCTCTAGTTTAACAAATTTATTATGTTCTACAATTTTTAGCTCACCTCAGCCAAAAGGCTCAAGTCAGCTCTTCTGATTGAAATTTGTCCGTTGTCTGTCGTTATCGTCGTCGTAAACTTTTCACATTTTCATCTTCTTTTCAAGAACCACTGGGCCAATTTCAACCAAACTTGCCACAAAGTATCCTTGGGTAAAGGGGATTCAAGTTTGTTCAAATGAAGGGCCAAACCTTCTTCCTCAGTGAGATAATTATGAATTAATGAAAAATTAATGACATCATTTAAAAATCTTCTTCTCAAGAACCACAGTGCTAGAAAATATGAAACTTAAGTAGAATCATCATCAGGCAGTGTAGATTCAAGTTTGTTCAAATCATGACCCCCAGGGGTAACAGGGCTCGACATTAACGCTTGTCCGCATGTCCGGTACCAGTGAAAAAAAAATTACGGACAAGTGAATATTGCTGGGCACTTGTCTGATTGGACAAGTGCATTTTAATGTAAAGAAGTCTCTAAATAATAAAAAGAATGACTGTTGAAAGTTAATAGGTAGTTTCAAGACGGAAGCCCTACATAAAAACCGTACTTCGATTCACATTTGATCGGGATTGAAGTTCACTAATTGCATACTACTGAAAAGGCATGGAACTTACGAACTTAACAAAGTTTGGATTCTGTTTGATGTTGACAGGTTAACTTGTTGTTGTTAGATAAAATTTTGTTTTATGTGTTTGTTGTATTTATCAATAACATCACGAATAAATCAAGCACATGTAATGTGTAATGGACTTTATTTTAGTTTTCAACAGTGTTTGAAATAACTGTGCACCCGACTGCCCGAGACGCACAAATTTTGCAGTGGGCGAACAAATTTGCATGTACTGAAGCCCGGATGGACATGTTAAAATTTTCGATAATTAAAATTCATATATTTGATAAATCTTTTTCAAATCAAGTAATAGTATCGGTAGCAAAGTTTAACAAGCCAATAGGAAGAATTCATCAGTCTATAGATTCTGGTTTGAAGTTATGGTGACCTGGTTCCAGTCACATTATCGTTAAAAAACAAATTTATAAAAGACAATTTTTTTCTCGGGCAAGTAGATCTTTGGCAGAGCTGACAACTTTTACTAGCAGTCAGTCCTGCATGTCTGTCTAATTTTACAGTGAGTTTCAAACACTGGTTTTCAAGTTGACAGTATTAGATCTTTATTGAAAAATTTTCGGACAATTAAAGCTGAAGTTCGGACAAGTAAATGTCTTGGTCACTTGTCCGAATAAACAAGTAGGGAAAAAAGTTAATGTCGAGCCCTGGGTAAGTTGGGGCCACAATGGGCGATCAAAGTTTAACATAGGAATACATAGGGAAAATCTTTAAAAATCAACTTCTCAAGAATAGCAAAGCCATGATTGGTCATATTTATGTGGAAGCATCCTCAGGTAGTGAAGATTTAAGTTTGTTCAAATCATGAACCCTGGGGGTAGGGTGGGGCCATAATGGGTGATCAAAGTCTTGTATAGGAAAGCATAGGAAATATCTTTAGAAATCTTACTCTCAAGAACAGCATCCTCAGGTAATCAGTGATTCATTTTGAAAATGGTTAGGCCTAATAAAAAAATATGTGTGGTTCCGGTTACCCGACCGTCCCTATTTTATACCCCCGACCCTAAACTTTTTTCTGGACAATTTTCAAATTTCCGGAATTTTCCCCGATTTCCCTCAGTGGCTCCAGTATTAGTTTTAGTTTCAGCAATGGTGGCCTTCTTTGACAACATCGTTTCAACACGTAGTACAAGTGTTTTGTCAGTTACAAATGTCACCACTTGAAAGGAAGCAATAGCATTATCTCACCAATATCACCAATAGTTAATTCAAGAACATTCAATGATATTTTTGATGTTTATTATATCAAAAAAAAAACAAAAAAAAAAACAAAAAAACCAAAAAAAAACAAAAAAAAACCTACCTACCTACCCTAATTTGTTTGGAGGTGTAACCGGAACCACACATATTTTTTTATTTAGCCTTATCATGGGTCCAAATGACCCCACTTAATGACAAAGTGAGTCCCATGCCAAAACCAATGCCTCCAAATCCAAGGGTACTCAATAGTACAGTATATTAGATATTACAGTGGAAATTCTGCTGAAATAGAAAAGGGTTTTGTCTGAAAGTGCAGTTGTTTTATTGAAGCTGTGAGTGGATTATTACATTTTCAACAGTGAAATACTGTGATTTATTTACTGAATAAAAGTTATATTCTCTCACACTGTGAATGGATACCAAAGTGATATTCTGTCACAGTGTGAAAGGATATCAAAGTAAGTAAAAAATAATTTCTGGCCTGTCATAAGATAGAGATATCAACTAAACCGTCTTGACTACAACTGCCAATTTCTCCCCAAATATATTGCTAATATCCGTTGTACAATGTTTTCAATCTCACTAAGCTATGACGTCTCAACCGCTCAACTATGATGTCAAAGCCTATGACACTGTGACACTGTGTTAACAAAAGACAGAGGAACAGGGAAAATCATAGAAAATCTAATAAACAGAAAATTCAATGTTGCGTAGTTGGATATGTAATTTATTTCACTCATGAGACAGGATTTTTTATATTTTCACTAGTGCTTCGCACTCGTGAAAATATCAAGAAATCCTGTCCCACTCGTGAAATAGATTACATATCCAACTACAAAACATTAAATATTCTTTATGTATACTATAATTACTAACAATTGGAAGTAAGAATAAATGATTTTGTGGCATGTAAATCATATATATTGTCAACTTTGCACTTTGGTTCTATTTTTAGATCGTACATTCGATTTCACACATAATTTGTATCTGTCATAAAATGCACAGAAGCATATGATGCAATCGACCAAGTTTTGAAGCAGATTATACTGAAATAATATAAAATAATAACTTTCATTTTATAAATTAAATGCGTCCATTGGGATGCACATTTATTGAAATAATGCGTCCTGAGGAAAATTCATGCGTAATTTATGCAGGACGCACACCAAAATTAGACACTGGGTAATGTAGAATCAAATTTGTTCAAATCATGACCCCTCCCCCCCCCCCAGGAGTACAGAGGGGCCATAAAAGGGGATGATAGTTATATAAAGGAATGGATATAAAGGATATGTGAATAAAAATTTCTTCTTAAGAACAGCAGAGCCAATGTAAGTCATATTAATTCAAAAGCATCCTTAGGTGGTGTAGATTCAAGTTCGTTCAAATTAACCCCCCCCCCCCCCCCCAGCCATAGTGCTCAGGTGAGCGATATGGCCCATGGGCCTCTTGTTTAAGAACTGTCAAAAATAATATATTCCCCAGTGATCTAGAAGATTCTCCACTAATTTTTTTCTCTCATTCATTTCAGGATTCTCCTTCATTTCCCTCTGCAATTTGCCGATGGCAATCTGAACCCGAGCTAGTGAAGTTTCATAGCTTCCTCTAAAGTCTTTATCATGGGGATTGCCTTTATGCAGGTTTCTATATTTTTGATATTCTGTGACTAGTTCACTATTACCAAGCAGGGCTCTCAAAATGTCTGTGGTTGATCTCTTTTGATCTAAATTTAAAAAGAATAAATTGTTGCATGAAAATCATTTTTTTAAATCTTTCATTTAGTGACAAAACTTGTGCTGTATGCATATTAAAAAGTTATACATACTGTTTTAATTATATATAAAAATCATATTTTAAAAAAATCTATTTTTTAGAGAGAAAATTTTTGTGATGCATGTGTATTGTAACTGACTTGATAAATTTTCACTTTTGATTTCAGCAAACAATCTTTTTTTGCAGCCTTTAGGATACACTTCTGAAAAAAGGAAAGTTACACAATTGATTCTAATTTTGTAACTTGTTTATTGTTGCCCTTTTTTACTCCGCAAAGTTATATTGATTATTGTATGCAGGGATATTTTTGCCCCCATTTTATTTTTGCCCCTTTTGCCCTAGTCATAAGTAGGTAAATTTAAGATTGGATGAATTCCAAGAAAAAAAACATAATTTCTTAAACAAAACTGTGACTGCCTTGGCAAAATTAAAATGGGACAAAATTGTTTGCAAGTGTGAAAGGGCAAAAATAACACGGGGTGAAAATAACATTGTATACAGTATTTATATTACCTGGGTTATTTATTTGTAATCTTTTCCTTTGAAAACTTCCCACCTCTGATGTAAATTTGGGTACATTCTGTAATGGTAAAGGTTAAAGGTCTGTACAAGTTTAGCTTTTTTCAAAAGCTTGCCTTCTTGAGCAACAACCTTAAACAGTAAACTGACATTCTTCTATCAGGCCATATTATTTTTGAGTAGTAAATCATGAAAAAACACTTAACACTTTTTAATACTTGCTATAAAGAATTAAAGTGTTTCATTTATTGCAATTTTCTTTTGTTTGTTTTGTCCATTTTTTAAGATTGAAAATCTAAAAAAAATGTTGATTCATATGCAAATTCAATCACCAGAAAATTATCTCCATTGCCTTGACGGGTTTTCTTACCATTTGTAAACTGGGTCCGGGTCCGTAGAATTGGGAAAATTGACACAAAATAAGTTCAAATTAGGAAAATTTTAAAAAGGATCAATTTCGTTTTTTCCCGAATAAATAAAAATGAAAGGGGCAAAAAGTGTCTGTATTACAATAGAGCGAACAACTATAAACAGATTATAAAGACACTAAAAAATTATTGGATGATAAGAAATTGCACAAAAAATTTTTAAAGTTTATTCCTATAATTTCATGACTGATGTTAAAAAAAAAATGAGTGGACATAATATTTTTAATTGGATAATGAAATATTTAGGATTTATATAATACTTCCGGTTAGCATAATTGTCAATACCAGTATTGAAAAAAAATATTGCAATATATTATCGTAGGGATTAATTTTGCAATATACTGATATATTGTTGATATCGCTCACCCCTAATTTTTAAACCTTGGCTTTTTCAGAGAGAAACTTTAAACTTCATGCAGTCATACTCAAGATTCAATAATGGGATGATTTAGTAACTGTAGGTAAGCATATAAGATTAGGACCTGCTAACGCAGGGTCTGATTCTGGTTGGTCGCTGAAACTCTGCAGAATTGTATTCTTGGGCAAGTTATTTGGTTCATCCTCCATCCAAGGGGTTAAATGGGTACATGACACATAAGACAAGCTGGCTATATGTGGTTAAATGGGTACATGACACATAAGACAAGCTGGCTATATGTGGATGTAAAAGCATTAGTGCCATATATGTAGGCAGCTCTGATTGTAAACCCCAGATGTGAGAATAAACCCTACCTTTACCTTTTGTACACTCAATTATATATTGAAAATTGTAACCAATATGGCTATATTTTTTTTTTTTAGAAATATATGGCTCAAAGCAGCAGTACATAATTTTACCATTGATTTTGCAGGTGACAGATTTGGTATTGCAAGATTTGGATTGTTGGCAACATCCATGTTCTCCTCATCTTGTCTGACTTCAGCTGATTCACTTCTTGTGCAGGTTTCCTGATTCTTTGAAAGTTGAAGCTTTAATTTTGAGAGAAAGCATATTTGAAAACAAAGTTTTATTATCATTGTTTTTATTATTATCATGATAATTGTTAAATCCTTGATTTCAAGATTTCAACAATATTCTGAAATGTTATGTTTGAAATTTAGTTGTATTTTCTAGAGCATACCTATTATTACTCCAGTTTTCTAAGTATCCCTATGTCTGTCTGTCTGTTATGGGATTTTTACCCGATTCATAATGTGACAGTGAGCAGCAGATGCAAATAAACTTTGCAAATGACACATATTTTATGTCATTTGTTTTATGGCCTTAAACTTATATCAAAATTTGGTTTTAGTCCAATCATGAAAAAGGCAAATTCATTTTTTTTTAGAATAAATAAATAAATGCCCAGGGGTATAGGGTGGGGGCAACAATAGGACATAACATTTTATGTTGGAAAATAAAGAGGGGAAAATAATTTTTAAAAATCCAATGAACTACCAAAAATCAATATTTTACAAGTATTTGCAAGTTTTGTACTTTCATTTTTTTAATTATGGGCCCTGGGTAAGGATTGGGCTGAAATCATTGATCAAATTTCAATTGCATGCATACAGGAAATAATACAGCAACATCATGTTGGTCATATTTATATTGTAGCACTCAATGTTTTGTGGATTCGGATTTGGTAAATTCATGAACCCCTTAAAGTATAGGACTCAAAATTATAAAATCAAAACTTTTTATGGAAATAGGGAGAAAGGGGGTAGGGGAATTGAAAAATTCTGCACAGCCAAGGTTTTTCAGGAGAGCATTGTGACCCATGGGTCTCTTGTCTGTATATATGTATATATTTAGTAGATACTTTATATTTATAAAGCTGTATAAATCTATGTTGTAATCCATGTAATTAATGTTACTGTGTTATTGAGGATATTTTTGTTTTGACAGCTTCTGCGTGCTGATATGTTCCTTCCTAGTTTCCAACTTCATCAAGGACCAATGGTACTAGTACATTGCAATTAAATCGGCATTCTTTTCTTGATAATTTTTAGCTCAACTTATTAGAGAACAGAATTGTGCATTGGTTAGGTGTCTGTATCCTGTCTTCTCACCTGTTATCTGTCTGTCTAGCGTAAACAATTTTCCTAGATGCTACACTTTCTACAGTTTTTGCCTGATATTAATTAAACTTGCTCCACATATACACTTTACTAAGATAATTAAATGGCATTATAGCAGATTTGATCTTATACCAACTGCATGTCATATCCAAATGAAACTTTAAAAATGATACCTTATTTCTTTATTTCGTTTTAGATTTGTGTTCATATATAATTAAAGTTTATCTTTAATTGACTTTAATACTGTAAATCACTTTTTATTCACAAGAACTTTATTTTCGTGTAATTACGTGAGATAATTTGATTCTCATGTATATTAGTATTCCTATTATTTTATAGGGCAAAAACCACAATTCGTGAAAATTTTGTATCACTAATAAAGAGTTAACTACTATCTCGGAAAAATAAGATGTCACGAAAATTAAGTTATCTCAGTAACAATCAGACAGAAATATAGATATATATGCAATTTGTTAGAATTTTAAATTGTTATCAGGTTGATAATTGAAAACAACATCTAAAACAATATGAGTTAAAATAAATCAATTTAGAAGGAATAAAAAAATAAAATGCTGAAAAAAACCTCTTTATTAATACACTGCTATGGAAATGCACCTAATATACAATGTCACAGTCTATAACTTCCATATTTTAGTCCCATGTTGTGCTTTGACAAATTTATTATAAAAATTTCTGTGTAGTTTTCAAATGCTGCCTAACCTAGTTCAATATGCCTATATCAAGGATGATTCACTACTAGGTATATGATAGAATCTGATCACATGACCTTCATGTCATCAAATATTGAATATCAATCTCCTTAGTATAGTCATATAAGGATACACATTGGCTTGCATAAATATCAAATCTTCCCACAAACTCCTTTATGTAAGTGTTACTTTTCCCTTTCTTTCAAGAACAAACCAGTAGAGTTGCTGTCACATCAAAGGATTTTGATAAAATAATAAAAAATTATGTGTGTCTCACTTTTAGACTTGTGATAATGAAATATGGAAAAGTGAGATGCATCTCTTAAATGAAATAATTATTTAAAATGAAAAAAATAAGGCGAAATAAAAAAATATGTTTGTTTACGGTTACCCAACTGACCCAATATTTAATCGCCGACCCAAATTTTTTTTTGTCGTAAAAATCCAGAAATCACTCGCCGGCCAGTTTAACTTTTACATGCATCTTAATCGGTCAAGCATTTGAAATCAAAATCCAAAGTAATAGAAACAAATTGGTGTGTTTATATTAACATGTCCGTGTCTATCGCCCATATGACAAGCCCAAACAAAAGTAAAGCACCAAGCAATGGTAAAACTCATGTGAATTCGTGTATAAAAAAAAATTCAATAAAATAAAAAAAGAAATCCTACCTACTGACCCAATTTTATTTCAGCATGTAGCCGTAAACAAACATTCATTTATTACTTCTAATATTGAGCATGAAGAATTGAAAGTCCAACATGTATGAGGCACTTTTGTATAATTATTTGGGCCGAGGATAGCAGCCTGGATAGCTCAGTTGGCAGAGCACCTGACAAGTGATGCAGGGGTCCCAGGTTTGATTCCCGGTCCAGCAGTATATTTTCCTCTGTCTATTACAAATGTTTATCTTTTCTTAGCAAGTAGAATTTTATTGTAGATATACCTGACTTCCATTGTCAAAAGCCATTGTACCAGGAGATGAATTGTGTCCTCTGCTACTCTTGTTCTGAACTACAAGAACCTGCTGTCATCAAAAATAGTAAACATTTATATATTTATACATGTATATTTTTGATAATGTAAATGGTGATGATGTTTTATCTCAACTGAGCTGAAAGCTCATAAGAGCTCAAGTGCCTTTTTATACCCCTGCTCCCAAGGAGAGGGGGGTAAACTATTTAACCTGTGTGTGTCTGTCTGTCCATAACAAATTTTTGGTTGCAGTTTTCTCAACAACTACTCATTGCAGATGCTTGAAATTTATAGCACACTCTTTATTGAAGCATGCCATATGGTGGGATTCATTTTTGTGTGAATCTGATGTCAACTTCCTATTTATCTGTGTGTGTGTCTGTAACTGAACTTGTGTATATTCACATAATAGTGTACATTCAAATCAGAGTGGGGGGTATTACTAGTGAGCATTGGCTCGCATACTTCTTGTTGGTCACATTTTGTCGGGCATCTGTCTGACTGTCAAACTTATTTTGACTTGTCCAGAACCACTGGGTCAGTTTCAAAAACATCCTTGGTTTAAGGGAAAATGAGGAGGAGATAATTAAGAGTTAGCGAAAACTTGGGGGGGGGGGGGGGGTATTGCTACAATAGTTGATCAGAATGCTAACAAAGGAATAAGTCAGAATTTTCTTTAGAATAGCAGGGCCTAGTCATATTGATATTGAAGCACCTCAGTGTTGTGTGGATTCAGATATGATTGAATCATAACTCTTAAGGTTGGGGCTACAATATGGGATGAAAATTTTTGATGGGAATAATTTCAGAGGAAAAAATGTAAGTTGTCTAAAAAGCAACCATCTTAGGGTAATTATTCAAAAAAAGAATGCTTAAGTAAAGAGATACTTACTTCAATCTCATTTCAAGTTCATTGTATTAAAATTTAATCTTATGGTACCTGTTTGGCAGGCTGTGACTTGTTATTGATTTTTTGTTGACTCATATCGTCAGTGGCTGATTTGTTGGGGTCTGCAATTATTAAAATAATTAAAAATGAAGATTGTTCATTTTTAAAAAATGAATTAATATTAACAAAAAAAAAAATTATGTGCAGCATTGAATCCATACCCTTTGGTGGATAGATGAACTTTGACATTTCCTTGTTGTATAATTTGATTCTGCTGATTGGAAGTTTAAGACAACCTGCTGCAAAGCTACTTGTACATGTTTTCCATGCAGATATGATGTATGCTCTCTCTTTTTTCAGGTCAGAAGACCGAAAGTGGTGAATTTCCGGACCTTCCTGTCTTGTTTGGGGTTCATCAAGGCCATCAAAGAATTCAACGCCTTCATCTGTTCTTGTCCACCAAACATCTTCTCCAACCAGCATAAAGTCTGCTATCCTTTCCAAGTGGGCCTGAAATAGCAGTGGATTCTTCTGTATGAATTTGTCTGTAAATGAGGAGTTACTTTGTTTGTCCAAAAGTTTCGCTTGTTTACTGATTATAGAGTCTTGTTTCTTGATGGTGTCTGGCTTTGAGTTAAGTTTCTGTTGAACTGTGAATCGAAGTACTCCATTATCCACTACGTATTTAGCTTGCCTGTTTGTTGTCTGTAAAGAGATGCGCCGTAGATCACCAAAGCTTCTCTCTTCTTGTTCTGGGATGATTGACTTCAAACAAAATAGTCTGTACGTCTCTGGAAGATGAACAGATAAACTATGGAAGTGACTCCCAAAAAATTTCCTTGATGTAACTTTTGATGGTTTTGCAAAGATGTCTCGAGATAGAATGGCAAATGTAAAGCACTGGTTATATAGCCTTAGGATCTGTCTTGGGTTTCTGGTGTTGAAGTTTGAATAGCATATTTGAATTATTTCTACAAGGCTGTTGACAAGGGACAAAAACTTTTCCTCTATTTTGTTATCTTCATATTTTGTACTTATGAACTTTGCCAGCTTCACTGCGTATAACCTTGCATCAGATCCTTTGATCTGATTCTTATCTCCAATTGTCGTATTTGAAAATAATTCAAATTCTTTTTGCATGTCCTTGGGGACCTGAAAGGGCAGTTCTGTTATGATGTTTTGCACCACATTTGTAATATCATGCAATGGTTCACAGTGTAGTACCTCGTATGTTCCTATGTTGTGTTCTTCAGCACTTTTTAAAGGATCTCTACACATAAGTGCTGCTGGACGACAGATACCATGTAATTTTGTTGTTAATAGGTCAGACAGTACTGATTTATTTTCTGTGTCTGTCCAAATGTTATGATGCTCAAGCTCTAAGGCAAGCTCCTCTTTTCTTAATTTCTGGAATGGATTAGTTTCTCCTTGTTCTATTTTTTTCCAGAGCTCCCCCCTGGTGATTAACTCCCTTCTTTCTTCAAGCGACAGAGACTCATTTCTGTAACAGTGAACCAGGTTTTGATGTTCTTCCACTTTAACTCCACATATGCAGCTATAATGTCCACCCCTTTGCTGCCCTGCCTCAAACTGTCTTGCTGGATTGTCTCCTGTAAAAACTCTTAAATGCACTCGGGGGGTGTTGGATATTTGAATAGACTGCAAGTCTTGGAGTCTTGTATCTGTGTATACAAGTTGTTCCTTGTCTGAACTTCCTGAAGAATGAAGATAATGACTTGATAAATGATGAGTTGTTTGTACATCTTTTATAGTGTCTTTTCGACAGATTATCAAAAATAGTTCTTGATATATTCCTTTGCATTTGAAATTGATTTGCTTAAAGCAATATGAGCTGCATTTTTGAGAATTTTATTTTCCTGTTAAAATGTGCTGTTATGATAAATCTGTGTGCAATTTAAACCATTATTATCAATTAGACTAAAATAAAGTATTACATTTCCTCAGAAGAAAGGTTTTTGATCAATGTAATGTATTTTGTTAATTAAGAAATCAATATTGTACAGGATGACAATAATGTAATTTTGCTTTGATCAAAGCTACTAAATACATGTAGTTCATCCATCGCAAATATGAACAACAGAAGTTTATAAATGTTCTTTTTTTCTGTCATTGAAATTGTTAATTACAATTTTGCCATAAATATTCCAGTCATCAAAGTTGCAGCTCATATTGCTTTAAACATCTTTGAAATTAAGTTTGAAAAGTTTTCCTCAAAGTAAGGCAAAACAAATTTATTTTCAGTTTCTCACGACAGGTCAAAAAATTAAGAATAAGTCCAGAAGGATTTTCTCAGATCATATCCATTAATGTGTAAGTCACGCTTCTTTATATTGAAATGAATTTTGTATTGTTTGCTTTTAATTTATTTCACAAACTTTTTCTCCAAGATTTAGTAAAAAAAGATTTTAATTTATCAAAATTACCATTGTTCCTTGTAAATTTAAGCAAACATTGAAGGGAAAGTGAGTTTTCTCCCTTTGAAATGTTACCAAAATTTTAAATATGGTATATTATAGCAATATTTAGAAATGAGATTTTTTTTCCCACATGTGAGTTTAATTTCCTCATACCTGATTTTCCAAATATATACAGTTTTGGTTTCTCCACAAAACTTTGAACATCCAGGGGAGTTTTTTCTGGAAACTTTATCTTGTATTCTTCGTCTGAGAGGAAATTTGCTGTGTCGTACAGGAACGACATCATAAAGTTTACGTACGATGAGTTTAAAATGTCAGAATGGTCATGCCATAATTTCATGTTGTAAGTGTTTTGAATTTTTTTCAGTTGTTCTAGAGGCTCAGGGTTATAACAATCCTCCTGGATTTTAGTTAATGTAATTCTGGCTTCTTCCTCACTAGTAGGATTATCCCTTAAAACACCAGCATTACTGAACCGTTCCATTTCTTCATTGATGATCATTTTCATGGGAATCTTTCTTCCATAAATTAGGCATTTAGATGTAGTGAGTTTGCCATCTTTATCAATTTTGTTTGTAGTGTGTAGCTTGGGAGCAATGCTTTCTCCAAGATACAACTGCTTTTGTTGAAGCTTGCTTTTAACTATGTTTTTAATTTTCTTAGCAGATCTTATTGATGGAACAGATATTCGACTCTTTCCTAATTTCATTTTGGATCTTCTGACTCTTCTGGTGTAATCTCGTTCGCTGACTCTAAGGGATAGATTGAACTTGTTGGTATTAATACCATGAAGTTTGGCAAAGCTTATTAATATTTGACCCGAATTTTGGGGCTCTGTGCCATGATATGTCACGTTGTACTTACGAGCCAGTCTGGTCCAATTGATGGGCTTTCCTGCAGGGTATTGCTTAATTTCTGATAAAAAAGCATCCCTGTCAAATTCATAACTATCAAATTTCCCATGGTGGTCTTTAGGTTTTATTGTCTTGGATTTCTCTTTTTCAAGTTTAGTACTCAAACTTTTCTCTGCAGCTTCTTTTGTGATGTGTGTCTTATTCATTCTTTCTCTATCATACATGCTGTATGATAGCCCAGAAGCGAGGAAATTCATGACATCACTGTCATTATCTATCATGAGGTTCTCAATTGTTTTGTTAGATTTCTTCACTGTTTTTTCTGTTGATTTTCTGATTTGAGTAGGGGAGACAATTCCTTTGGATAGGTTGTCACTTAAGTTGGAATTGAATGTAATACCCATTTTGTTTTCAATGATGGGCTGTACAAAATCAACCACATTTTTAATGACTTTGATGCCTTTGCTTTGTGAATTTGGACTTTTTGATTTTTGAAATTGTGCAGATATAATTGTTGTAGCTAAATTTTCACATGCCTCAGTTATCTCTCTCTGCTGTTTAGTTGCCGAGGAATGGAGGGCAGAAAAGCCTGAATGAACAGTAGCACAGGGGTGACAGTTATTCAGCTCATGAGACTTCTTCTCATTTTCAGAAAGATTTTGCCATGTTGCAAAAGAAAAGTGCTTGTTGAAGGTTTCACGTTCTTTGTTTTTATTTTGATTTCTGAAGAATTTCTTGTTAGTTACCAAGTCCTGTACTCTGCGTAAATTCAATCTAAAAGTGCTGTATGGCATATGGAGCTTTGGAAATTTTGAAATTAATGATATATAATTATCAAATCTCTGCTGGTCAGACAAGTTGGTTACATATTTTGGGGTTGTAGGGCAATCTGTTTTACCATCATTTTTAAACCAGTCTAAAACATTTTTGTCCTTGGATGTTCTGGCTTGGAAAACTTTTGCGAAATTGCAGTAATTCATTCTCAATTTTATGGAATCCTCATTACTTTTTTGGCTTTGATTTCTATTTATGACAGGAGAGACTTAAAAATGTCTATTTTGGAATGTTTGTGAATGTTTCATAATTTCTTTGCAGCTCACCTTGAAATTGCCCCACAGGATGTTTTCCCTGCCTATGATAGTGCAGCAGCAAATATATCTACATTGTACACGTATGAAAATTTAACTTAAAATTAAAAAAAAAAAATCCACATTTTTTTTTTCAATTTTTTAATGTTTTTTTTTTTTTTTTTTTTTTTTTATACATTTTCCCACAATTTTTTTAAATAACATTCTGTTACCAATAACGAAGTGTATATAGATCTATCCTCTTGTATATGTACATGCAAACACATGCATTAATTGAAAATTTAAAGTGTAGAAAATTGGATTTAAATAAATATTGTTCTATCAGTGCTGTTTGTGCTTATTTCACTATTTGTTTTATCAACACAGACATACCCCCCCCCCCCCCCCCTTGGACAAGGTGAAGTTATTTCAAAGAAGCAGCAATGATATGTAAAAAAAGTGTAGATTCTTCAATGATGATGATCATTGTTTAAGAGCACAGGATACAAAAATCTCAGACTAAAATAGTTTTTTAAAGAAATTTATTCAGTGTAATGGAGATGTCGCGGTGTACAGAGGAAACGCGGTAGACTTCTTTGCAAATTCTTGAATCTGGAATAGAAAAAAAGTAATCAACATTAAAACAGGTTCAGAATTTAATAATCATGTATTCTATATAAAAAACGCTGTATTTCCGTTAAAGGTTTAAAAAAAATGAAAAAAGGTTATATTTTCATCGGTATATACAAGTATCAAGAGTTGTCTTCCCGCAAATTGTGCCCCTTATGTGACTGCAGAGTTATTTCCCTTGTAAGAGTCCTCTGAGCGTTTGAAATTAGAGTTGTCCTTTGAGGAGAGAGTGGGGAGCGCAAAAAACTGAAAAGTGCAAGGGCAAAACGATGGTGAATTGAGTTAAACTTAACAGGTATTGCTTTATTTTCAAACAGTTTCTCGGAAAAGTGATGCTCATTTGTTGAGAATTTCGTATTTAATTTATAATCAAAAGGTAAAGGTGGAAATTATTGAATTTTGGGGGGCACTGCTCGTCTTTTCACTTGATTTATAAAAATATGCAGCATTTACACTGTATGAGCATTGATTTTCTTTAATTTCGAGACATTTCGTAAAAGATAATAAAAAAATCGGTAACTAGAATACTGGGCTTGCCCTTGCACTTTTCATTTGAAATTGAACCTATGTTTTTCAGGTAAGAATTGGTCACCTTGACCAGTGGAAGTCAGGTGTTTGACCTAGTTATATGCATGAGTAAGATGAATCCTTGTAGAATGTGTATGTAATAAAATATGTCAAATGGCATCAAAGTATGGGGTCAAAAATTCTTCTGTGCGTGCCCCCCTGTTTCTCGCTGTGTTAACAAGCCTTATGTTGCCTTAACTATACTGCGAATGTTGAGGACGATTAGATTTCTTAGTAAGACTTGTCACGTGATGTGGCAGTCACGTGATTCTAGCAAAAATACCTGAAGTATTGAGGTCATCTATAAATTCTAATATTGCAAGGGCATAACAAAGTTAAAAATCTAAGTTTAACATATAATTATTTTCAACACTGTTTGTAGTTTGTGAAAAGTGCTGCGAACCTATATAGATTCTACTATCTAATTGCTAAAATTACATTTGTTAGACAGTATGTTGAATATTTTGCTGGTCAAGTACATTTAATATACTTAGATATAATTAATTCATTTGCAAGATTTCAACAGGTTCGCAGCACTTTTCAAATATCTTCACACTTCTTGAGTTTATGTGTAAAAGCTTGCCATAATTCATTGAGGGTATGTCCTTGCAATATATCGATTTATTACGACCCTTCTTTTACCCTTCAATGAATCTGCATACAAATATACGACAGTATCGCTTGTATAGGGAATGTACGGGAAGTATATGAATAAAATCATAAAACCGACATCGCATCCAAGTTAATGGCCTCTTATATATCTACAATTTATATTTTATTTGATTACAAAATACATTTTTCATTGTATAAATATAACTTGATCCGCCTCTCACTGCATACAAACTGCGTCAAATTTTCCGATATGACGTCACATTGACAAGTGCATTGCGATCAGTGAATTGTTTATATATTGATGTGTGGGATTTAACCAACGACAATAATGCATGCACTAGTTAGTATTGATGTAGTTTAAAGGTATTCATAAGTTTGAAATAGCAAATAATTTCATTTTATGGTAATTTGAAGAACTTAGATTTTGTGTGATGTCATAGTAAGCATTTCCCGTATAAATTAGGCCCCGCCTCCTTACTGCAGCCTTAACTGTGCTGCGTAAAAGAATTGTATTTGATACATGTAGAGTATTATTTTGCCAAAAGTACGGGGAAAATATGACGTCAATCAGAGACTTGTTAACGTTAAGTTATTATGACGTAACAATAAACGTTACCATGAGTATATTGTAAAACATCATGAAGAAGAAATGAAAGCGCTTATGTTTTACTCGTTCTCTGTGTTTTTATATGTTTGAATATTTTTCATATTTATCACCGACCACTGTGATTTTTCTTGGATTTATCTATCTATCTATCTATCTATCTATCTATCTATCTATCTATCTATCTATCTATCTATCTATCTATCATAATGTATATATATATATATATATATATATATATATATATATATATATATATATATATATATATATATATATATATATATATATATATATAAACACAACACCGAAATAAACTCAACCGGTTTCATTTTCAATCTTCAGGAGTTTGACAACATATAATTGCTTAGTTACACATAAATACAAAATCAACATTCTTACTGTGACGTCAAAAAGCGCTAATATTAATTTACGCATTGCCAAAGTTAATTATGACGTCATGACATAACGTAGAAATTTAGTACGGGAAATTAAAATTTTCCATACAAATTATACAGTTATATATTGCGGGAAAAAGTATATATTTGATACAAAATATAATCACGTAGCATTTAAAACAGGTTTATATCTGTGAGTAAAATTTTTTTCTTTGGTTTCACGTTCTTTTCTTTGGCATTCCTTCGAAATTTGTACAAGGGAAAAACGGTAAAATTGGGACTTTTACTCTTGGCAGAGTTTCTAATATGGTCCCTAACGGGGGTACACTGGTATTTTGTTTCCCTTAATTGCTGTCGGTGTACGGTCATTCTGTGTCTTAAGGTGTCTCCTGTCTGACGGATATAATTTTCACCGCAACAGGCAGGTTATCACATAAAAATATTGGAACTAGTGCACGTCATGGAGGTTTTAATATTAAATTTACTTCCGGTTTTCAAGTGTAATGTAGATCCTTCTGTCAGGTATGGACATGTACTGCATCTGGAATTGTTGCATTTATTGATGATGGGTGGTTCCTGGTTGTTACTGGAAAAAGATGCTCTGGTAAGGGTAGATTTAAGAGAAGGGCTTTGTCGGTTGCTTTTGATAATCTGTGAAGTATCTAATGTTTTTTTTCATATCACAGTAAGAATGTTGATTTTGTGTTTATGTGTAACTAAGCAATATGTTGTCAAACTCCTGAAGATTGAAAATAAAACCGGTAGAGTTTAATACGGTGTTTTTTTTTTTTTTTTGTTTTTTTTGATATACGACTACGTGTGTGGATTTATATTATATATTTCTGGTATATATATATATATATATATATATATATATATATATATATATATATATATATATATATATATATATATATATATATATATATATATATATATATATATATATATATTCAGTACGATTATAGCTATAAGTATATCTGATTTAGACTCGCAAATTTGGACACATTTTGTCTTCTGTCATAGAAAAAATGAACAAAACAAAAAATAGCAGACAAAATCTTTTTAAAGACAATTCAGAAACAAAAACAGTCTCTCATCGACTACAATCCAGTGGGAGAGGCAAACGTATCTGCAGCAAACATTCTTCTGATTGGTCAAATTGGCGCGGGAAAGTCCAGTTTTTTCAACTCTGTCAACTCCATTTTCCGGGGGAAAATTACCAGTAAAGCTTCAAGTGGAAGTTTTGAGCACAGTGTGACAACAGCAGTATGTTAACTTAACAATTATATTACGCACATGTACTTAACTTTGACAACGGAAAATTTCCATAAAATGACAATAATTTTTTTTTTTTTTTACCTAAAGCAAACATCTTATTTTACTAACATATATACAATGTACTTGTAATAATTCCGAGTATGAATTAGTATTTTATATATATATATATATATATATATATATATATATATATATATATATATATATATATATATATATATATATATATATATATATATATATATATTAATCAAGCGTATACAAATCATTATTCATTTTCCAATAGCTTCATTTTATTAAAATCATTATACCTTTTATTTCAGTACAGACAATACAAAATCAAAGATTTCAAATCTGGAAAGTTCCTCAATTTTCGTCTATGTGACACAAGAGGCTTAGAGGAAGAATTTGCGATGGATGTTCAAGAAATCTCCTTCATTTTGGACGGAAATGTCCCAGATCGGTACCAGGTTTGTTTTTCATTTTTGTTTTGAAACATGAGGTTCGCTTAAACCTCTGCATGATGATTTTGTGCAGCCTACAGGAAAATCCCTATTCCGAAAAGCTAGAAGTGTGTAGATAGTGTACTTGAAAGTTCATTCTTTTTGAAATTCTGTGATGGACCGTTTTGGTAAGTATAGTCTGTCATTGAGTGGTATCACTTATAAAAGATATCACCTATTCAGCTTTTGAATTGGTGATACATGTATCCCTCATTCAAATAGGTGATATCACTTACATGTATTTTATATGAATTGGTGATATGATATCACTTATTTGAATAGGTTATTTATATCACCTATACAAGCTATATATGAAATAACAACTGCTCCCAGGAATATACGTGCACTATATACATTTATCCTGTACAAATGATAAGGAAGTAAAAGTTCGGTGTCTTTGTACATGAATAATAATGAAAGGAAAAAGTATCAATAAATATAGCGTAACTGACTGATGGTGAAATGATCATAATGACTTCAAAGGGATCGATAAAAATGTTATTTTATGTTGTCTCTAACTATAACACAGCTTAAAAGATCAGCGCTATATGGCAACGCACTTTGAAATAATTACACACTTTGAAAATTTTTTTCCAAGTGCGTTAAATTTGAGACAAACTCAACGCACTTTGAAATTTTTTTCAAAGTGCGTTAAGAGTGTACATCAACATTTTTTTACCACGGAGACACTTAACACACTTTGAAAAATACGTATAAACAAAAATTCTGGACTTAGATTTTAGTAAAAGACAACATTAATTTGTTATATTTCTTCCAAAAAACTGATGAATTGGTCTACCCTCATCGAGAACGAAGAGAAGACAGGTAGAAAGTCCCTCAGCCCAACTCTCTATCTTTCCTACACAAATACATGTATTTACATAACAGGTATGACATTGATATCATTTCTCTCAATAAATTTGAGTTAACGTAAAATAGATGAAAAAATTGAGATAAGCTTTCCTGAAAAAAAAAATAAAATACACGCCCTATTATTTTAAAGAAGAGAGCTGCATAACCTTTATTCAAAATGTATCCACAATGATTCCTCAGAAAAAAGGCATTTACATGGCAATTAAAACATGCTATTTGACATGTTTAGCGTTTTTATGATATCAAACTACAAATTTAGAAGTAATCTGACTGCATAACTTTTTTGAGAAAAAAGTTTTTAGTGAACGAGGTAAAAATTTCAGTCGAGTGAGTAATGTGGCTAAGATTTATTTTCTTACTATCAAATAAATGAGTCAACCATTGTTTCATATATGTTCACAATAGATAGATAGATGAATATGAGAGAGAGAGAGAGAGAGAGAGAGAGAGAGAGAGAGAGAGAGAATTTTCATGGTATGGAAAAATCATAATTGCTCCCTTTTCCCTAAGAAAAATGCGATGCTTTAAGTCACTTATCGACATCTACTGAGCTTATTAGAGACTAGATAAAATTTAAAAAAGAAAAGAATAAAAGTAATGAAACTGCTAATAAACAATCATTCCTCCATTATTTCTGAAAGACCTATCTCCCTTTTATAACAGTTACAAGAACCTTTGGAAACAAGACAACTCCTACAAATCTTTAAAACGTCTATATCTCAGATCCTGACGTCATCACCGAAAGTTGTCCAACCAGGTTCAAACAATCAATTATCATACCTAAAATTTGCAAGAATATTGACCAAGCCGTGCACATTTTTTTCAAAGTGCGTTTATATGGTCGATATTAACGCACTTTGAAAAGAAACATTTTTTTTTCAAAGTGCGTTAACGTGGTCCCAAAATTAACGCACTTTGAATATTGTTTTCAAAGTGCGTAATTTTTCAAAGTGCGTTGTAACAGTGCTAATTTACTTACATGTAGGGTCAATCGAAATCTAAATTGTTTTTTTTTTATTGACCTTTTTTGTGTACATGTAACATACAAACAGATTCCTTTTCTTTTCATTGATGCTAGATTGTCTTGAAGAAGGGACTATTCATTATTTAATATAGTAAGAAATGCAAATACGTGATATTACTCATTTGAATTTAAAACGAATAGGTGATATCACATACTCAATTCGATATCACTTTACGGCAGTAAATTAAAAAAAAAACAAAAAAAACAAAAACAAAAACAAAAACAAAAAAAACCGGCGCCTCATTAAATTTCGCTGCTTTATATAAGATAATGAAAGTAAAGTCATCCTAATAATGATGATCTGGATTGAATTTGGTTCAAAGATATATATTGAATATAGCTCAGCAACTCAAATTGATTGATAATTTTTTTTTCTAACATTTTAAATGTTTAAAAAAGTTTTTTTAAGATGGATTCTTACTGAATTATTTTCTAATCCTTCAATGATTTGCGCGGTTTTTTTCTCTGTGACTTTAAGAATTGAATAAAAGATTTCAAAAGAATCTTTATTGGTTGTTGCCTAGGAATTTCTAAAAATAATGACTCTTTCCTTTGTAGTTCAATCCAATGGTTCCTTTCACCTCGGATACACCTGATTTTATTAAAGACCCTGATCTACAGGATGAAATTCACTGCGTGGCTTTTGTGATAGATGGGAGTACTGTCGACGTTCTGCCTGACAAAGTTCGTAAACAGATGAAAGATCTACAAGTCAAATTAAATCAAAGAAGTAAGATATATTCAGAACAGAGAAGATTGACAAAAATGCTTGATACTTATTTGAAGATAATGTGTGTGTGTGTGTGTGTGTGTGTTGGTTTCACCGATCTCCCGAGGACTATGGTGTGAAAAAACACCTTTATTCCGAGGACGTAAATTTCTTCCGAGGACTTTTTCCACGTCCTCGGAAAAAAATTGCTTGTTTCGTCACAAAATATCGAACTACATCACGTGGTGAAATTTGGTGAAAGTCCTCAGAAGAATAGTAAGATGTGAAATTGTGTTACACCATCACACACTTTTATCGTCTGCCATAACACACATTTGATATTTTAGACGCGCGCTGATGCGCGCGCATCCAAACAGGATATTTCCGATGCGCACTGATGCATGCGTATAGGAATGGCGGAAATGATGAAAAGTCTTGACTTTTACGTCTAAATATGTAAGTATTCACAGTATATTTACTAAACGTTGTTTTCATTAATGAAAAATAAATAATCTTAGATAAAAAGACATTTAACACAGAATTTTAATGCTAGTATCTGTACTTACATGTAGATGTAAACAGATAGGACATACACGAACATTAATAGGAAAAGACATAAACAGATAAATGATAGATCTCATTTGACTACTTAAAAACGTGTAATTGAGGAAAAACTGTCAATGAAGAAGGGGAAATGATAAGTACGGAAAACATATGTTTATACCATGTTCATTTCTATGAGCCTTTCAGGTTTTTAGGTGACATTAACTTGTTGACAAAACGCTTGCTTATAATAACCCCCCCCCCCCCTAAAGATTTTTTTAAATGACAAAACACTTGTACAAGCAATGATACGTGGCACTGGTTAACTTAATTCACACGAATTAAGGTAGGTTTATTAAAAATGGCAGTTTGTAAATTTAGAATTTACAGAGGGAAAAGCCAAAATTACTGAAAAGGGAAACTAAAATTTCGATCATTTATCTTCACATGACAATCTTAGATTCCTCACTTTTTCATTGTAGAGACTTTTTATTTGGAATCGAAAACAATACATAGTTCCTTTGACATAGTTTTCAGAAATGGAGCAGTAGATTAAATTGTTAAAAAAGTAGCATGCATGCAAATCTTTAATTTATGGAAAAGCAAAATTTAAAAGAAATATTCTATTCTTTTGGAAAAACATGATTAAGTTTTATGGGTCTGAAAAGCAGTGGTGATCAAGAAAACAAGACCAACCGTACTCAGTATTTATATCTTAAGAAACTTTCAGAAACTTATAAATGGAATATTAAGGTAATGGATTTTGTTTATATTTGTTGTTGTAAAACTCGAGATTAGTATGAATACTTTTGCACACTTCAATTCATTTAATGTTCCTTACCTTTCATCTTCAAAACACAAAACTGATCTCCATGTTTGTTTCACGTTCCTTTGAGAATTTTTCACTCATATTAAAAAGCCACCACTTGCCGGTGGAGGGCTGCAAATTTAAAACTGTACTCAGTACTCATGGCTTTTGAGCAGTGAGGGATCTTTTTCATGCCAGCACTTACTGCGACACAGGACCTCAGTTTATAAGGTCTCCTCCAATGACCGGTCTCCACGTTCTGCTATGGGATTTGAATCCACAATGTAAGGATAATCTTACTCTTCGACTCGTCGCCCGCATGGCGCAGTGGTTAGAGTGTCTGCTCTAGAGTCGCGGAGTAAGGAGTTGATCCTTATGTCGCGGGTTCGAATCCCACTGTGGGATATGGAGACCGGTCCTTTCGGATGAGACCGTATAAACCGAGGTCCAATGTCACAGTAGGTGCTGGCAGGAAAAAGATCCCTCACTGCTCAATGGCCGTAAGTGCCGTGTATAGGACAAAATTTGCAGCTCTCCACAGGCAAGTGGTGGCGTCTCCATATGAGTGAAAAATTCTCGAGAGGGACGTTAAACAACATAAAAACAAACAAACAAACTCCTCGACTCTAAAGCAAATGCTCTAACCATTGCACCATGCAGGTGACTTTGATCTCCATGCCTCAGAGGAAATGACTTGATAGCCTCTTATAGGAGTAATTGTCACTGACTATATACAATACCTATGTAGTCACATAAACCAAATACTGCTGCTCTTTGAGACATAGTTTATAAGTCTTATATAATGCACTTAAAATAAGTCAAGATTCCAAAGAGTTTCAAACATCCCATTCATTCAAAGAGTTAAAAATAATCAATACCTCAGGAAGTTTCGACAATTCTTAGATTTGAAAAATATTTGCTCAAATTGAATTAGATTTCATATTTTATTCTGTTTATGTCAAACATGATGTTCTAATTATTATTAACAATTGATTTCTCTCCTTGGTAAAATGATTTTTTACTGTTTATTTAACGAGAATTTTTTACTCATGCTAAGAAGCCACCACTTCCCTGTGGAGGGCTGCAAAATTAGACCTGAACTCAGCACTTATGGCCATTTATATTAGCAGTAAGGGATATTTTGTGCAAACACCTACTGCAATAAAGAACCTGCTTTATATGGTTTCATCCAAAGGACCGGTTTTCAGGTCCCACAATGGGATTAAAACCCTTGAAGTAAGGATTAACTCCTTACTTTGCAACTCTGGAGCAAAAGCTCTATACTCTATGCCACGTGGCGACTGGTAAATTGATAAACATGCACTAAATATGTTGACTCTACCACAGGCCTCTATGTGACCTCTAAAATTTAGGCACCAACTGGCTCCTTATGAAAAAAAAAATTTAGTCACCAATGCAAATTTTTAGCTGCCAGGTAAATTTTTCTTAGGCACCAATCTAAAAACTGATATTAGTCAATATTAGAGACATGTCAAATGCTTCTTTTCGGCTCTTTCTAAAAAAAAAAAAGCCAATTTAAAATGGTCGCCAATTTGGCGAATTTTAGAAAAATTTTAGGCACCAATCATAATTTTTAGGTGCTATGGCGACTTAATTAGTCGCCAATTAGACCTATACCATATATCGCATACCCTGTAATTATTTTCACTATCTGCACATTTTTGATTTTTTTGCCTTTACAAATCAACTTGGTTATAAAGATACATGACTGTATAATTTTTGTAAAACAGCTGGATTTTTAAGTTAAATTTCTCTTGGTTTAAAGCTAAGAAAACTTAGATATCATAGCTAAAGGACTGGTTATTAAGTGACAAGCTTAAGTATTTCTGACACATTTATTCTATCCCCTTTAAAATTACTATGGGGCTATAGATACAGGTTGGTCATGTGATCAAATCCCATGGAATCCAAAGGGCTTTATGGTAGGTAACAACATATGACTATAGTCCCATAGATGATAAAATATTATACTTTTTCATGTTACATTTTGCCCATATATGAAGCATTAGAGTATTATAAATTGTGTATAAAACATTAATGTTTTTACTTTGAATTTCAAATGTCAAGCGTCACCTGTGTGGCGCAGTGGTTAGAGCATTTGCTCTAGAGTCGCGGAGTAAGGAGTTGATCCTTACGTCGTGGGTTCGAATCCCACTGTAGGACATGGAGACCGGTCCTTCGGATGAGACCATATATATCGAGGTCCAGTGTCGCAGTAGGTGCTGGCACGAAAAAGATCCCTCACTGCTCAATGGCCCTGAGTACGGAGTACAAGTCAAAATTTGCAGCTCTCCACTGGCAAGTGGTAGCATTTCCATATGAGTGAAAAATTCTCGAGAGGGACGTTTAACAACAACAACAACAACAACAAAATCAAATGTCAAGCTAGAATAAGAAACTACAGCATGAACTATTGACCCTTTTTAGTCATTCATAGTTATAAATGAGTCTCCTTGAATCCTCAGGAGAAAGCACTGCAATTTTAAATAAGTGTTTATTTTCTAGAAACTTTTGTTTGTGCAGGTGTATCAGATGCATTCCAAAAGTGTTCAGTCACTGAAAATTTAAATACAGTTGAACTTTGGTATCTCAAGCACTGATAACTTGAATACCATGGATATGTCAAAGTTAACTGGAAGCCCGAACCACTTATTTTTTAAGAAATTAACACTCGATATCTTGAATACTCCTATATCTCTAAGTTTTTTCAGTTCCAACCCAGTTTATACCGTATAAATTGGGTAGCTATTAAATTCATTCCTTATAATTTAATTTTCATTCATTTGGTGTTAGAAAATAAAGATGATTGTCCTTAAAAATGACTTCAATTTGTTCAAAATTTGAATGTAACGTCAGGCGGATCGATACGTTTTTGACGCAAGACATTGTGACGTAAGCAACCTATTTTATACGATATAAAGTAAATTTTTTATCCAATCAAATACAGCGTTACAACCAGAATTAAATTATTTTAAAATAATGAGGTTTGACTGTGCATGTTTCTTATTTAGCATTTGATGAATTTCATATGAATCACCAACAAGTTTTCACATTTTGATGCAAACTTTTATAGTTCTAAACAACCAACCACTCATTAATCAATTACTACATATAATTTAAATAAAATAAATTAACAATTAGTTAAAAGTTCATAATTATATACATTTTACCAACTCTTTTTATGTATTCAACTACAAGATATTATATACATAATTTAAATAAATTTAAATTGATCAGAAATGTCAAAATGGAAAGTTTGAGAAACCTGGCTTCATTTACTGGACAGTACTGAAATTGTAGAAAAGAAGTTCATTCATTTATCAATTTTATGATTCGCTCTAGGAACAGATCAGAAAATATGTTTCAAAAATAGGTAGTATCTATTAAAATAATTAAAAAATCAAAGTGAAGGAACACTTTAGCATATGTGCCTGTCTGTTCATCTATTAGCAATCATACTAATAAATATACAAAGCTGATGTATCAAGATAATAAATGCTACTATATAAGTGAAGCATTTCAAGTAAATCTATTGGTTGTAACCATTATAGCATTTTGTCGTGTTAAACAGAAAAAGTAATCTAACTATGAAGTAGCTCCCAAGTAGTCCATGTGCAAGTACTTCCAAGTTTCTTTGTAACAACCAGTTTTGTACCCATTTTTGCAGATGAGTAGGGCAGTATACATGGACCATATTCAAAAGCTTTAGAGATATTTATGAAATAATGAAAAAGTTTGGTAAAATAATTATAATTTCATTGCCTCAATTGATATAATTCATGTTTCTTTGGATTGAAAAATCTTTATATAACCTTCAATAAAAGTCCTTAATTATTTCTTATGTGTCTTAAAACATGAGATCTGATTGGTTAGCAAGTGGGGTGTAAATTTCCTTACACCAAGCTAAAGCTGGGGTGGGGTGGGTGGGGTTAAATAATGTGACATCACAATGAATAGTTTCTATATCAAATAAACACCATGCAACATGATGTCATGATGTATTGAAGCATGTAGTAAATCAATAGTTTAAAATATTAGTGGAATTGGGTTTACAGAGAAAATATTATGTTATATAGGAAATAAAGATTTGTTATCCAGGTGTAATCAAGGGTGTACAAAGATTTACCTGTTAGCAAATAAAACCTATCACTGGGTCGTATTTTGGCTGACTTGCTTCATACCAATTGTTAGGCCTTTGTTTATATGCTAAATTTGACTATCGAATATTCCATCTACTTAATCAATACATAGGGCTCACAGTGGGTGTGGCCGGTCAACAGGGGATGCTTAATCCTCCTTGGCACATGATCCCATCTCTGGAATTTCAGGGGGTCTGTGTTTATGCAGTGTTCAAAGATTTGTATTGTTTGTAATTTTTATGAAATAGATCACTGTTCATTATCTTCTCTTTTTCACTCATATCCATACCCAGCAATCATGACCTTTTGACTCCAGAATCAAGAGGAATCATCCTCTCCACTGGAGTAGAGACTGATCTAAAAGCCAATTTGAAAGCAACTAAATCATAGACACAAATTTTATTTCTGATGTACACGTACCCTAAATTAAATTAAGTGACTATTGTCTCCCCAAAAATAAATACAGGGACCCAAGACTTTATCTTTAAAATAATTAAAAATTCTTTTAAACAATGTATAAGTATTGCACAACAAATGTAAATCACATAACACATAAATATGCATAGACATTTAACACATACAACAGGGTGACTGGGCTATGTGTATGTTTAAGGTGTGCAATAGAACATCTCCTATGACACGATACAATATTTTACAAGATGGTGTGTATATATCGAATAAATTATGTGATATTTTGTTAGTATATTACTATATAGGTCTCTGGGTATATTGCTAAGAGAGTACCCCTAACATAGAATGAAATGCAAGTTGGGACCCATGCATGTAGTTTTCTCTTTTATTTAATTAGACGCATGCAATTTCTTCACTTTAAGAGCATATTTTATGATTAAACAAATGTCATTTCAAACTTTACCAGATATACTGTAATACAGTGCCCTACACTCAGTCAGTGTCAGTATGTGTACAGGGTGATAAAAAATACATTATCAATATTGCCATTTATCATGTTTATTTACCAATAATTTCAAAACTTTTTAATTCTGTATTGCATACTTATGAAAAAATCGTGACGATACTATCATCAATTACTTGCAATAGGATTAATCAATAAAATAAATGAATTGTGCATTTCCGTCCTCAACACCATCTTTCTTCAGCATCGACTGATACGAGGTTCGACATGGCAATTATAAATAAATATTTATCTTTTTTATTCCGTCTTCAAATGCTGTACAGCTGGTCTGAAAAAATGTGATGGATTACCAGAGGAAATAAGATCTGATTTATTAGAATTAAATGTTCTGTATTTTAAAAAAAAACGGGTTGGCAATTTACGAAACAATAGTGGGTCGGGTTATTTAGCCAACCAAAATGGCAGTACAGGCTCCGACCGAGGACTGAGGAAGCTTAGGATGACTAATAAGAATGGTTGCGGCGAGTGTTTTGTTGTGGAAGTATTAGAAGAATGTGTAAGAAACATACGGTTAGTCGCCTAAGTTCAAATCTATCAAATTCAAAGTTTTAATAAAAAGATATCTACAATTCTACACTTGGACGATACACTGATACACAATCATTTAGCTGGTACAATCACTAGTGGGGTTAAAAAATAATTTAATTCATAGTTTAACTTGCTGTAATCCTTGTAACAACAGTAAGGCAGTGGAGATACCAAACACCAAAACCAAAAAAATATAAAACTCATTTTTTGTTTGCACTGCAATAGACTGGAGTCATCTGGAAGAGGAAGTAGTCGTAGATAGAATTTTCTAATCATTAAAATGATTAATGTGCTTCAGACCCGGTTTAAGAGAGGTGTGATGAGGGCTCGTCTGGAGACGCAGTTAGATTATTTAACTAATTTAAAAGTAGTTCGTGCCCCAAAGCTATTAAAGAGTTTTAAGACCGCGTTACAACATCCTGATGACTAAATGCACCCTCCTCCATCACATTAAAACCCAAGAGGATTCTTATAAATTTATACTGGTACATAAACAAATTGATTGAAGAAATGCCCATGTAGAAAACGCATGGTTTTTTCTCGTCAATGTCATAGCATTATACTGGTGGATGAAACTTGACATATTAGTATTGATAGAATACTTCCAATTACAATTATTTGTTTTTAATTTTAACCTAAAATCATTAAAGTCATGACTGTATTTGTAGACCCCTACAGTTTGGGGTATTTCGAATCCTGTGTGTACATGAGAGCAGATGAATAAAATACACATGCTGCACACTTGTTATATTAATTTTACATGTCAGATGTACACTCAATTTTTAGACAGGACCAAACTTTTACTAGTCAGTGTCGATCAGACATGCCTTATAAATGTTAAACCCTGTGTCCGAATGCATAAATATTTTTAACTTGTCTGATTCTGAACAGATTTAAAGAAATTTGTTGAACTTAATGAAGGCTAAATTAGCTATAAAAATAACTGACTTATTTAGATTTGTGTTATCATGAAGATAGAAATATTAATTGCGCTCCTCCTCTCATTAGCAATATTTATCGAGGTATAACTGAGCGTTAAAGATGGAAAATTTATGCTATGCTACAAGTACATATTTTAACTTCAGTATCTTGAATCGTAGGATATCACAAAGTTTTTTCTAGGACCCATTAGGTTCGATGTTTATATTCTACTCTAAAATGCTTAAAAATGAGTTTTTATACTACTAGTATCATTTACATTTTTGAAAAACATTTTTTAATAATTTTTTTTATCATGATTTTATCACAAATATAGTTTCACTATATATACCATGAAGAATTCACATCACATCAGAAACAGTTAATAACAAATGCTAGAATCAAATACAACAAAACAGAAACAGTTGTAACACCCTCTTGATCATCCTCGTGTGCTTTTATGCTACATATTATAATAGCTTGGGTTTGAGATTTAATGCTGTTGGTTGCTAAGGCAAATATAAACAAAAAATGGGACAGAGTTCCTGGGCTCGACATTGTATGCTCATCCACTTGTCCAGTACATGTACCAGTAAAATTTTTCATGAACAAGTGATAATGACTGACCACTTGTCCGATTTGACAAGGGATATTTTTCTAGGAAGAATTTTTTTTAGCTGAGCATGAAAACTTAAAGAATTAAAATTTGTTGTCAACTTTTTATCGGAGGTTCAAAATGAAAACATGCCATGCATGCGGTTTGTAAATAGTTAAATGTTGAATGATCCTGCTCGTAATAATGATGGCCCTGGTTGTCAAACTTGATCAGGAACAATGTTACTATGAAACTTGTCTGAAATATCTGATGTTTTTCAGGCATTTGTCACAATTTTAATTTTAATATTTAAAGTACCAGGAAGTTGACTACTTAGAACTACAGTAACTTTGAAACATGTACTTTCACTGAAGGAAATTTGGGTTTTTATTATCTGGCAAGAGAGCTTTAGCAAAAGACAATTTAGGCTACAAAGAGTAAGCAAAAGAAAGCAAAGAAAAATTTGAAGTCATATAGTCAGCTGTTTCTTGTTGTTACTATTTTTCTTTCATACATGTAATTATATAACATGATTTACATCTACTTTAGGATAGGATGATACATTTTAGTAATTTGCAATAAATGTGTCCACTCAAAATCTCAAAAACAGACTCAATGAATGTATTATAGACTATTGTAATGTACAATATTTTTTCAAATTGTTAAATAGGTCTTTTATGAAATATTTTTATACAAGTAAAAGTTATGTTCAGACAAGTAAATTTCACAATCACTTACTTCGAGGGTAACATGCCAGAATATTTTCCCCAATTGTGTCACCCAATGTCGAATGCATATCTTGTCATTTAATTATTCAGTTTTATTTATTTTAATATATCCAAAAACATTATTGCTTATGTAATTGCTAGTCATGAGGACCCCCTGGAGATAAGCCTATTATGGCAGTAGATGGGACTGAAAAAAAAAACCCTTTGAGAAACAGATAATTGAGATTTCAAGAATAGAGGGTAAAGTTCATAAACTCACTGAACTTGAGCACTTAGACATATCCATGGTATTTGAGAAAGAGTTTTAAAAAACATAAGTAAAACTGTCATTAACAATAAATTTTATTTCTCCATTTTTTATTTTAGCGCACCTGAGCCAAAGGCTTAAGAGAGGTTTTCTGATCAAAATTTGTCTGTTGTCTGTCACTGTTGTTGTTGGAGGCGGCAACATAAACTTTTCACATTTTCATCTTTTTCTCCAGAACCACTTTGCCAATATTAACCAAACTTGCCACAGAGCATCCTTGGGTAAAGGAAATTCAAGTTTGTTCATATGAAGGGCTACACCCTCTTTCAAGGGGAAATAATTAAGAATTGTTGTAAATTTAATGGCATCTTTAAAAACATTTCTTCTCAAGAATCAGTGGACCAGAATATGAAAATTCTCTGAAAGCTTCATTACTTAGTGTACATTCAGGTTTGTTTAAATCATGACCCCCCCCCCCCCCCATTGTAGGGTGGGGCCACAATGGACAATCAAATTTTTACATATGAATAAATATACATCATCATGTGTAGTAAAAAAAAAAGTAGAACAGCAAGGCCATAGTGACTCGGGTGAGCATTGTTGCCCATATCCACTTGTTCTTTTTACAGGCATTTTTTACTTTGACAAATTGCACTTTAATAATATAATTATAAGCTTAAATTGGATAATATTTTATTAACCATAACATTGTTAATCAAACTTTGGTGAAACTGTGAAATTAACTTGTCAAATGACTAGAAATTTCTTACTGAATCTAGATATGGATATACAGTTCTACAACATTTAAAATTTTACTGTGGCTCAGCACACATAAACAAAAATTTTTGGAGATCAATAACATTTTGTCGAAATCAAAGACAAAACCAAATGCTTGGGTATTTATTTACAAAGTTTGATTTGTTAATTTTTTACCATATGAATAATTTACCCCTTTCTTTCCAGTAGACCCTTGTTATGCCATGCTTAGCTTAGAGCCAGGAATAGCAAATCAAAATGAACTTAGTCAGTTATTGTTCTTTGTAGTAAGAGACAATTTCTTTTCAGGTTTTCTTTTTCGGTTTCTCATTTTAGGCCTACAGTATTTATTTTTTACTCAAATATTAGGAATATTATACTTGTGGGCAATCAATGAATTTAAGGAATACTCTTTTTTTAAGTGCTCATGATGCAACTTCCTGGATGGTGTGTAAACTGTTTATCAGCATGTGAAATCCACATGATTGAAGGTATCTTACCTATCAATAATATCAATTTTCTCTATTAAAAGCTGCATAAGGAATTATTTTATTTCTGGTCTCAAATTTTTGTCCAAGCATCATTCATTTTTTCTTCATCTTTTATCTAGTGAGGGTCATATTAATTGATTAATTTAATCAAGGTTTTATAGTAAAATATAGTGAATTATTTTCTTGTGTATGACTTTTAAAGGGGCATAGACTCAGATTTGAAGTTAATATTTTCTAAAATTTTCGACTAGATCATGACATATGTGTGGCTATAGTATTTCACGCAGAAATATCATAAAAAAAACTTATTTTACCTGGAAATTATTGAAACTACGAATTTAGAGACGCATTTGATTGACACATCCTTGCACTTTCACAAAGTAAAACTTCATCCTTGATACTTAAAAAAAGTAGAAATTTTGTTGTGTTTTAGTGAAAAAAATTAAAGATAAAATCCAGAAAATTCACAGTTGAAATGTGAGAAAGCAAAACCAACTCTTCAGTATTGTCAGTCCGTGCTCAGTGATGTGTGCAGAGTTTAACAAATTGAACACACCCAATGGAACGTAAACTGTTTTGTGTTCAATTTGTTAAACTCTTCACACATCACTGAGCACGGACTGACAATACTGATTAGTTGGTTTTGCTTTCTCTCATTTCTACTCTTAATTTTCTGGATTATATTTTTTTTTTATATTTTTTCATTAATATGTATCAAAAAACCTACTTTTCTTAAGTATTAAGGATGAAGTTTACTTGTGAAAGTGCAAGGATGTGTCAATCAAACGCATCCCGAAATTCATAGTTTCAATAATTTACAGATAAAATAAGTTTTTTATTATATTTCTGTGTGAAATGCTATAGCCACATATATGTCATGATATAATACAGACAATTTGAGAAAATATTTCAAAATGTCGAATCAGTGTCTATGTCCCTTTAAGAGTAACAGGTAACTTCACTTTAGAAAATAATTTTTCTTATTTCAGGAGAAGTCTTCCTTGTTAAAGATCAGCAACGGCAGATAAACAATGCATGATGCAATCTGCTCACTAAAAAGATTACACCAATACATGTACATCCCATGACATGTATTTCTACCTATCACCTATGTAACCTTTGTCATGCTCTTCAGAGAGGTAAGAAAACAAAATAATTATGAAAAAAAAATTTGGTAAAAGCGACGCTTAGAGATCACTTTACATGGTGTCTGTCTGTCTGTCACACCCTAGATCCTGAGAACTGTAAGAGGAATGGATTTGATACTTTGCACTTGCATTGCTTGGCACTTTGGCTTTTGTAAAATACCATATGCAGTCAAACTCGTTTACATTGAAATTTAAGGGACCTTGAGATTTATTTCAAATTAACCGAATTTCATTATATCTATGTGCAATGAATTACATAAAAAATGTAGATACAGTTGAACTTCATTATCTGGAACACTGATATCTTGAATACCATGGATATGTCAAAGTGATTTGCTGTCCCAACCACTTATTCTTTAAGTATTTTACCCTCGATATCTCGAATCCTCAGATATCTCGAAGTTTTTTCTCGGTCCCTTCAAGTTAGAGGTAACGAGGCTTGACTGTACAGTAAAAAAAATATGCATGTGAGAATTCATATTTTTTACGTAATATTACATGCAGTGTTTCAGAAATGTACTTATTTCTATTTTTCAAAAAAGTCCTAATTTTTTTTTACTGTTATATATTTTTTTTTTTTATCTGTGTTAGAAAACTATCAAGACTATTTATACACGAAAAAAGTTCGTCCTGAACATTGCCGCATAGATGCAATGATTTGTCAGGTTCGAATCTATAGAACAGCCCTGTCTCATCAGCATTGAAAACATATGCTTCATATACTTCAATTCAAGAAGTTTATTTTCCATTTACTTAATTACAGTGGATTTATTTACTCCGGCACTTTCTCCACTAGGGCTGTGTCAATATATTGATTAATCAATACATATCGATATTCAGGAATTTATCGTATCGACAAACTAACTTCCAATACGTATTGGGCAGACAGTTTTTCTTATAATTCTGTGAAAAAGTTGGGAATTTCAGTCACCAAAGATAATTTTTAACTGTTTTTAATTTTAAACTGGTCAATAATAAAATAAACATTAAGGAGATAGCACATCTTAATTAACTATTGCAAAATTCATATACAACTATATTTTAACATATTAGTTTTTCAGTCATTAAAAGTTTGAATTTGAAGTGTTCTTTGTAAAGACAGTGAGACATATGAACTTCCAATTTGGTATTAAAACACCCAGTTTTTATCAAATTTATGCATTAAATGATTTACAAGACCTTTTTGCTAGACTTATTTAAGAATCCAATATATTGCATATTGCTTTATAAAATATCTTATCGAAATATTTTGGTCAATACACAGCCCTATTCTCCACACACCAATGTACACATGACACCCCTGCGTATTTTATCCATGTCGGTCTTAATGCAGTAGTTAGAAAATAAAAATGGCGACTAATATGTTCCGGTGAGAAATGCTCAATGATTATTGTTTTATTTATACAACACATAATTAAATTTGTACAGGTCCACCAACATCAAATCACCTGTGAAAAATTAACACATGCTAGACTTTATATACAGTACCGACCGGACACAACCTAACACCAGAGCGAACCCAAAGTGCACCCCGGGTTCGCTTCCTGGGTTCGCTCGGGGTCCGCTGCGGGTTCGCTTTCAGAAAATTTGGGACCGCTCTGGGTACGCTTCGGGTTCGCTCTGCGTTCGCTCGGGGTCAGCTCTGGGTCCGCTAGAGCGAACCCGGCGTTCGCTTTCCGGGTTCGCTTTACGCACTCATGCGTGAAGCGGACCCCGCTTTAATCTTGCCGCCAGTAAGCCCCGCCCCTTGTATATTCCAAATATAGTAGTGAAATCGATCATTACTGTTTTTATGGCGATCGAAACATGTACATGTAAGTGACAATATGGGGAACGTTGATAAATTCTCGAGAATTTCACCGTACATTCGACGTAGAATTATCACTTTTATTTTTCTTAACTTACAAGCTAAGTATCTCTCGAAAGAAAAAGAAGAAAAAGGGTGTTAAATGTATTTTCGATGTATCGGATGGAGTGAAATTGATAAGAGTATCTTAATAAAAAAAAGCTTTCAAATTCATTTGTTTACATTATTCATGCGTTTTAAAATAAGTTGGAACTTCCAATTGTAATTGCAATTGCTAAATCGTAATTTAAATGTTTGAAAGACAAACAACTGAATTATGATCTTATCTATGAAATACCTGAGACATACTGTACACGTAAAATGCTCAGTCTTCATATTTAGCAGTTTACATTTAAGCTAGGTTGTCGTCCATTACATGTATATGTAGGTCGTGATAGTCACTAAAAATTCTCATACAGTGTAACCTGAGTTTCGTTTTACAGATTATTTATAATTTACTTCCATGCTATAAATCATTGTTTTATAAGGCGAGTTTAACGGAAGACTTAAAAATACAACAACAATCAAAAAACCAAAACAGACAATCAAACAAAAACTAATATTTGGTCTACTGATAAGAATAAATTATTTTTTTAAGTTGTTTTCAAATACATGTAAATGATCATTTGAATAGTTTGAGTTCTTTACTGGTTTATGACCCCATACCCTCCCCCCCCCCCCCCCCCCCCCCCCCCCGCGCCCCACTACATACATGTACATACTGAAGCGGCATGTTAACAAACAAAATTCTAAATGTTTATAAATAAATAAAAACAAGAAAGAAAACAAACAAAACAAGAATTCAATAACTGTAAACTCGCATGATTAAGTAGATGAAATTAAGATAATAACGCCCGATGTTTGTTTTTTTTTTATTATTATTGTTTTATTTCGATGATCCTCCCACCCCTCTCCGTACTCGAATTGTTTTCTATGGGCCGGTTGTAGCGATTTTAATTTCAAATAATATACAGTGTTCTCTCTCTCTCTCTCTCGTAAAGCTATTTTACTGACTTTTAGCATTCAGGTGACAGCAAATTACATGAACATGTACTCTTCATGCAACGTACCAAAGAACTGTGACGTTTCCAAATTCAATTAAAAAAAAGATAATTAAATTTCTTATTGATAACGTGCCCAGACCAGGTACATGTAACTTAAGGTGCATCGAATGTAGGGGGAGTACATGTATATTCTCAGGTATACCGTGACCATGGAGACAGTATACATCCAGCTAGCAAGTGTCAATTAAAAAACCCACCGCAATTGATCTTAGAACCCGCAATATCTTAGTAACAGGTCAAAGGCAAATTTTCTTTGTGTGGATTCTTTTATTCTTCTCAGAAATGTGTGGCTGCTAATTGAGCCATAGCTGTCTGTTTTCTTTGAGAATCAAAGAATTGCAGGAAGTCTTTTAGGTTTTCAATGAAATTTCCTTGTTTTTCAGATAATCTGTATAGAGTGGCACCTTAACCACCACTGGTGAAATAGAAGATGACTAGTGGATGGTCATCACTTTGCAGCTCACTTTCACTTTCTGCAGCCCATCTCTTCTCATTCACAATCATTGTCTTTGGAGGAATGGTTGCAGTGCAGTCCTCATGGCTGGGCAGGTAACTTCCTTTCCTTTATTTCTCAGCTTTCACCTTTCTTACAAAATTTATTTCCATAGAACACTGCTACAATTTTCTTCCTCTAAGAACACAGTATATGTCACTTGGGTAGCAGCTTAGAATTGGGTTTTCCCAATGGCACTGAAGGTGGCATTTTTGTATTGAGCATCTCCTTCCACTCTGATACGTGTATCAGGAGTCCCCATTTTTCATTTAGATCCTGAATGTTCTGTCTTATATTCATCATGCTGGTCTTCTACCCCCACAATAAAGGTTGGGGGAATATATAAGAATCAACTTGTCAGTCTATCGGTGCCAACTTGTTGGTCATTGGAAGCTCAAACTTGGTACAAAGAATGTTTATGACCTGTTGGTGTGTCAAGATTTTGACCCAAGGTCATTCCGGCTAGTTCAACAGGGTTTGACACTAAGGCATGTTTGACCCAGTCTAGTAAATGAGTGGTCCAGTCGTGTAAAAGACCAATTGGTCGTATTGATAAAATAACTGTTGAACCTCCATTTCAGTCCTTCAAATAAATAATCTAAAAACTTTTAAAGAAAGGACAAGGTATGGTAATGCCCGAATCTGGTCCCTTGTTTGATGTAAAAATCAGAACACAGTTAAAACTGTGATAGTTTGTAGGTAAGAATTAAAAATAATGCTTGTTTTAAAACCAGCACTAATTTTGATTCAAAGCTTACATGGAGGCCACAAGAGGGTGTAGAAGTAGGTTATTTTCCAGAATTTCCTCAATTCTGGTTGAATTTCATCAAATTTGCAGGGGTTTAAATATATGGTAGCCCGATGCCCGGGGCTAGTCAATTTAAGACTCGGGCTAGCTAATTCAGATGTAATGATAGTCCATCGGACTAGCAGAATGGGGAAAAAATCTCAACAGTTCACTTTCACTTTTCTATGTCGAGTGGTTTCATTAGACTGAGATGTACATTGTAGTTTAATTTGTTTCTCTCACCACAGCCTTTAAAACTTTTACATGTACTTGTTATGTTTTCATTTCGCATGAAAAAGTTGTTGGGCTAGTTAGTTTGAGGTTTGGGCTAGTAATTTTTTACAGGTCAATAGCCCCTGGGCTAGTGGGTTTTCCAGGAAAATTTAAACCCCTGATTTGAGATACTTTTCACTTTGGGAAATATAGAGCACAAGGCTGCCTATCTGAGATTTTTATACATAAGATGCATCTGATATTATTGTATGAAATATATAAATTTGGTTGATAGGCAAGCTTGTGCTCTATGTTTTCTGAACCAAAATGTGCTGTAAAACCAATGAAAATTTGCATAAAATGAGAAAATTTGGAAACTGACATTTTTTCCTGACCTTCCTGTGGCCTCTGTGTATCCCATAACTTAGAAACAATACTCAATTTATGGCAGGGGTGACAGCAGGTTTTTAACTGAAAAACTGTTGCAACATTCTAAAAGACACTCCAAACCAGGGGCCAAAAAGGGATCTTAGCCTATCTTATCCTTTCTTATATGTTACATTGTAAATGGTCATTGCTCTGTAAAGAAAAAATCCCCACATGACCCAATCACTATTTTAAGCCACAGCTGTTATTAACAAGTCGAGGGCAAAACTACTTTTGTTCAGTACAATGTTTCAATATGATGTAAATAGTTATGTTTAGTATAGTTTTAAACTAATTTATTAATATTAACGATAATTATTTTATGAAAGTTTGTTGAATCTTTAAGGCTTATATTGCTCAAATGTCCTGATGAACCCGACTTGATTGGCGGGATCCCATCAAACAGTCTGTCAAAATTCAAGGTCACTGACAGAAATGATATAAACTTCTTGTCCAGGATATCAGTTTGCAATGGAGAATCATTGAAGCTCATTCTTGGTACAAAGATTATTGAAGACCTGAGAGTGTGTCATGACCTTGGCCCATGGCAATTCTGGCAAGTTCAAGGTCACTGGCTTAAAAGGTATAAAACACTTGTGTAGGCTGTAACTTTGTAATGGAGAATCATTGGAAGCTCTTACTTGCTACAAAGATTGTTTATGACCTGGAAGTTTGTCTTGACCTTGACCAAGGTCATTCTGGCAAGTTCAAGGTCACTGGCAGATAAGAGATAACATTCTTGTCCAGTCAATAACTTTGTAACTGAGCTTTAATTTGCTACAAAAATTTTTTTCTGACCTGAGGGTCATTGTTACAAGTTCAAGGTCTCTGGCAGAAAAAATGTAAGTCTATTATTTTGTATTAATGGAGAAAAATTGGATGTCCATATTTCACTCTTAGATTAATCATGTCCAAAGATCTGTCCTTTTTTTACCAAAGTCATTTTGGTAAGTTCAAGGTCACATTTACACATTCTGAATAAAAGAATTGCAGCAGGGTTATAACCTTATTATTTTGTTAGCTCGCTCACAGCACCTTTAGCTGACATAAGTGATGTAATAATTTTTCTCACTTTGTTTCAGGTCTACTGCATGTTGACAGCTGATACTTGTTCTCTATTTACTCCAAGAGGCCTACTACATATTGTACGTCAGTTATGACTGTACTCGTGCTGGCTTCTATGATGTTAATTTCCTTTACCTGCACTGCGTTAAACTTGGTCAATTCTGTTACTGTCGAACACCAACAGATGAAAATAAGATTAAGCTGATCCTGCCAACATTGTGACATAAGCGGTCCAATGTCCAATATCTCACTCTGCAGTCAAACATCATTTTTTTTATGAACGCTCAGTAAAACATTGGAAATGTTAGACTTTTTTAGTATTGATTTTTATAGTTACATATTTTTAAAGTAATAATAATTCTTTTTATGCCCCCGGATCAAAAGATCCCAGGGGTATATTGTTTTTGTCCTGTCTGTCTGTTTGTCTGTTTATCTGTTTGTCTGTTTGTCTGTCTGTCTGTTGTCAACTTTAACCTTGCCCATAATTTTTGATTGGTTGGAGCTATGACTTTCATATTTCACATGTGTATTTCTTGTGACAAGACCTTTCTTTGGGTACCATCATATTTGACCTTTTGACCTTGACCTTGGAGTTTGCCCCAATTTTGCAAAATTTTATGAGACTTTAACCTTGGCCATAACTTCTGAACAGTTGGTGCTTGGGGTTTCAAACTTCACATGTGTATTCTTTGTGACAAGGCCTTCCTTTGGATACCAACAACTTTGACCTTGACCTTGGAGTTTGATTTACTTTTGAAAAACTTTAACCTTGGCTATAACTTTTGAACGGTTAGAGCTAGGGCTTTCATACTTTACATATATAATCCTTGTGACAATACCTTCCTTTGGATACCAACCACTTTGACCCTGCCCTAGGAGTTTGACCTACTTTCAAAAAACTTTAACCTTGGCCATAACTTTTGAATGGTTAATGCTAGGGCTTTCATACTTCACATATGTAATCCTTGTGACATCACCTTCCTTTGAATACCAACCACTTTGACCCTTTGACCTTGACATAGGAGTTTGACCTACTTTTGAAAAACTTTAACCTTGGCCATAATTTTTGAATGGTTGGTGCTAGGGCTTTCATACTTCACATATGTAATCCTTGTGACAAGACCTTCCTTTGGATACCAACCACTTTGACCCTTTGACCTTGACATAGGAGTTTGACCAACTTTCGAAAAATTTTAACCTTGGCCATAACTTTTGAATGGTTGCAGCTAGGGCTTTCATACTTCACATATGTAATCCTTGTGACAAGACCTTCCTTTGGATAACAACAACTTTGACCTTGACCTTAATGTTTTACTGACTATTAAAAAACTTTAACCTTCGCCATAACTTTTGAACAGTTGCAGCTAGGGCTTTCAAATTTAACATTTTTTATCTTTTGGCCTGGATTTTGACTTGCATTTGAGAAACTTTAACCTACGCCATAAGCTGCCATACGGGGGCATCAGTGTTTCACAAACACATCTTGTTATTGATGCATGTTTAAGTATGCAAAAATGAACATTGATGATATTAAAGGTGAGGTATTTATTTGTGATTTCTCTTCTGAATAAAATTTTATATCAATAATTTATGCTCTTGTTTATACAAACCGCAAATGAGGCTTTCTATTCATTAGGAACTGGACCCATAATTACTTCCTTAAGGAGGAATGCCACACCAAAATTTAATTCCATTGGTCTTAAGACATCCATGTTAAGGAAGCTCTAAACACTAATGAAAAATGCTTTTTGGGCTTTGAGAAAAATATATCATATAAAGGTGCACATATTCAGTGTATCAAGTTCATTTTCAACATAGGGTACCTGCCTTATTTCTGCAGAAAAAATGTTCAAAGACAATGAACTATTTGTGAACAGAAATCACTGTTTTTTACTTGCATCAGGAAAATTAATGGAAATAATGTATTCAATTACTTAATCTGGGTCTAACATAACATTAAGAATACTTTAATTCATAAGAAATTGTGTCATTAACTGTAGATTCCCATTTATACTATTTTTCTTCTAAGGGCAAATCACCCAATAAAACTGCCCTACAAATAGAACTCTTTAGTGTGCAGTGTTTAGAGCTTCCTTAAGTCATGGATTCAGCATTGAAAGGCCTAGCTCTTAATTATTTTATAAGAATTTTCTCCAATTTTTCATAGAAAATGAAAAAAAAATGTTTTATTTGCAAATAAGATGCTTTATAGTTAAAAATTTGATTTTAATGAATGCATAATATAAATATCTCATAAAATATGTGAAGTGACAAATAAATTATATATCTCGTATGAAGGTGATAAGCGTACCTTGATGTTTTGGACATAAAAACCATGTGTAAATGATATCGGTACCTGCTAGTTTTATTTTTTCTAATTCTTTGCATTTTAACAATTTGCGCATAAATGTATCTGTCAAATATTTCACAGGAACGTAGCATCGTTTTTTAAAAAAAAAAAGGGGGGGGGGGTTGGGGCAGCGAGAGAAAAAAATTCAACATACTCGAAAATCCTATTTCGTGGGAGGTGTAAGGGGGGAGAGTAGGTGTTCCATCTTTCAGTACCAAATTTTATTAATACATTACCCCGAATTGACTATACTGAAACAAAAAAGGGGGAGCTGCCCTTTCAGTGAATGAAATATATGTAGATAACGAACGGTATTCAAGCTCAAATGTCCATTAAACAATACAAATCTGGAGCAGAGCAAACACGGACCTCTAAAATGTCAGAGGTGGGATCAGATGCCATGGAGGAGCGAGCATCCCCTGCCGACCGGTCATACCCGCCGTGTGCTCCTTGTCATGATCGTGAAATACGGAAAAATCCGTCGACAATGAATCTTTTCAATCGTGAAAAATAAAGTTTGTAGTTTCAAGTCTGTAACAATGTTTTTTAAGGTGGAGAGGGGTTGAGCCACAGGAAAACATTCAGGATTTTTTTAAATGTTAAAAAAGCAAAATGTTTACAAGCAATAAAGGGAAATAGGCTGTTGACTATTTTACAAAACTTAAATTCTTAAAACTGAGAAAGGAGGGGGAGGGGGTGGTGTAATACTCTCATTTTCTTTTCTGCACGAAATATATTCTGTACAATACGATGAAGCGGTTCAACGCTACCACAGAAAAGTGTGGAAAGTGTGTGTTTGGGGGGGGGGGGGTGTCAGATTAAATAATACCATGCATACAGGTGTATCTGCAAAAGACAGATGAATCCAAATCCAAATCTTATGTAGAGAAAGAATACACATACTTTTACATGTACCGGTAAATACAATGTATAAAAATGTTTGTTTGTTTGTTTGCTTAGTTGTTTAACGTCCCTTCGAGAATGTTTCAATCATATTGAGACGCCAACACTTGCTGGCGGGGGGCTGCAAATTTAGACCTGTACTCGACACCTGCGGCTTTTGAGCAGAGAGAGATCTTTTTCGTGCCAGCATCTACTGCGACAAGGGACTTCGGTTTATACGGTTTTATCCTAAGGACCGGTCTCCACCTTATACAGTACGGAAATAATCCATACATTGTAAAAACAGTTTCGAAATGAGGCAAAAATAATAATTATATACATTTTTGTATGCTACGAAGAGATGCAAAAACAGATATATTCGAGGAGCCGTAACATATTTGGAGATTCGACCGTACATTATTTCGCCTACCACAATATCGAATGTATGCTTAAATCTTTGATAAAGTCCCAATATTTAATTACATTGTGACCCATATTTTTTTTTCTTGAAATGTTGGGTTTTCTTTGGTGATTATTCAGATTTTGAGCGCTTGAATCATTTCCTTTGATTTAATGTATTGTATAAAGGTATATGTTGCAAATTTCTCTCTGCTTTATAGGTTTAAAGACTATATGTATATATCTTCAAATCATTTTAATTCACCAACAGATTGAAGGGATATATAAGTATATCTATAGATGTAAACTCTCGAAGCTGTGGAGCTTTTCGACATCTGAGGATACATGTATGCGTACCTACTGGCACGGATATCGGCTTAATACCACTGATTTCGGTCACTGGAGGAGAGATTTTTTATACATGTATTTTCAAGAACAGATTCTTTATTTCCAAAATCTGCCAGCGTCCCCCTCTTAATTACCCCCCCCCCCCCCAATAGAATGAAAATTCTCGTGCCCTAAAAGATATTGATGATTTCTTTAAAAGAATAGATTGGATGGAAGTTTCTAATCTGAATTAAATTCAAACTATTCGGAAATTGAAATTATTATTTGTCTTCTGCATCAAGCGTATGAGAAAAGCAAATTTGGATTGAAAATTAACTTCAAGCTAGAATTTCAATCAATTTTTCTCAGACGTCCGACACGAATTCGCTTTCTATCACCAAATCATATGCGGCTTTTCCCCAACCAACTCAGAACCAGCAGCATACTTTGTACATATTTTAGGACTATCTTAAGATACGTCTTTGGATGTAAAACAAAAGCATCTTAGGAATATCTTTAGTTAAGATGTCGTAATTGGGGAGGGGGGCGTGGTCATGGGATCCGGTCCCCTTGGGATTTTTAGAGTTGTTGAAATGATATTAATAGTAAACCCAATCCCTCTAGAAAACACGGACCCCTGTTACAATGGCATAGAAAGTCACATACATTTATACATCTTCTGTATATCTATAAAGGCAAAGCGATTTAACACCCCCTCTCCCTCCAAAACGAAATAGCTATATAAGGTATGGATAAGTTTATGGTTTTTTATCCTTGCTTGACAATAATGTCTGAGTCTTCTTTTTTTTTTTTTTTTTGAGTGCGCGGCTCTGTACCCTCCTTCCCCCTCCGGAAAATGCCTGTATCCGCGCTTGATATGTATTGGTAATAATAAAATGTCTCAGAAATTTTATAAATAATCGCTATTCCTCGATTTTCATTTCAAATTTTTAATCAGGTTTGTCCATTCTTATCCCGTTTTCATGCATTGAGCTGTAATAGATATAATAGAGAAATAAAAAAAAAAAAAAACAGAAAAGAAAATCTATATGCAATTTTTTGAAACATATTTATGTTAATGGATAAGTCAATTTGAAAAAAAAAATTGAAGCATTCCCTTTTTGAATAACAATAAAAATTAACATTATAACATTGTGATATATTTATAATTCACATATAAGGAACAATTGAGATAAGTAATAAGATTTATTTTCAAAATGCCACTTCTTATGGTTGTTCGTCCCCAGATGTAACAGCCCCCCCCCCCCCTGTAGAAAGGTTGGAGGTAGTGCCCGTCTGCATCCGCGCCGTAGTCACGCTTATGAACGTTTTAACCTGCTACATGTTTCATTCATCAATTAATAAATGTATTCATTTATCACTTTCTCTTTTCTATTTGTACGGTTAAATGCATACATATACAGTGACACGGCACAGTGTCTACTTAATTGATTTAATTCATAAAAGAAATTAATATTTTTACAAAAACTATTGGA